TGAAGGAACTGCCTCTAAGGGAATGGAGGTCAGACAAGGACAAAGACAACCAAAACGGAGTGTCATCAAGCCAAGTATTGCAGTGACAGGAGCTTAATCCTGAGAGGGAAATGTATTGAATATGTACCCTTACCCAGCGTTCCCCGGTATGTCAGTGTAGATGTGTGGCCTTGAGAGTCATTTTATTTATTTTTACTGTTCTTACCATGGCAAAATTATGTCAGTCAGCGTTGGTTCCCCACTTACCTTTTCTTTCTTTTTAAATTTTTTTTCTTTATTGATTTTTAGAGCGAGAGGAAGGAAGAGGGAGAGAGAGAGAGACATTGATGAAAGAGAACATCCACTGGCTGCCTCCTGCATGCCTCCCATCGGGGATCGGGCCCACAACCTGGGCATGTCCTGACCGGGAATCGAACCGGTGACCTGGTGCATGTGTCGACGCTCAACCACTGAGCAGCATGGGGGTGGGCATGATGATTTTTGGCAGTAAGTTTATTTTAAAAAGTTGCTTTCTGTGTCCCGCCTGGTGTGGCTCAGTTGGTTGAGCTGAGCGTCCTCTTGTGTGTTGTGGGTTCCATCCCTGGTGCAGGGTGTGCAGGAAGCAGCTGATGGATGTTTGGCTCTCACATCGATGTTTCTCTTTCTCTCCCTTCCTCTCTCTCTAAAAATCAATTAGAAAATACTTAAAAGAGAAAGTTGCTTTTTGTAACTTGATTCAATAGCTATTTCATCATGCCTTTGTTGTTGTTAATTCTCACCCGAGGATGTTTTTCCATTGATTTTTAGAGAGTGGGAGGGAGGGAGGGGGGAGGAGGGAGAGAGAGGACAGAGAGAGAGAGAGAGAAAGAGAGAGAGAGAGAGAAACATCAATGTGCAAAAGACACAATGATTGCCCTGGCTGGTTTGGCTTCAGCGGTTAGAGCATTGGCCTGTGGTCCAGAGAGACCCAGGATCGGTTCGGTTCCTGCTAAGGGCATGTACCTCAGTTGCAGTTTGTCCCTGGCCCTGGTTGGGTTGTGCGGGTGGCAGCCACTTGATGTGTCCCTTTCATGTCGATGTTTCTCTCTCTCCCCGCTGTGCTCTATCTGAATAAAAAATGGAAAAATGTCCTCGGGTGAAAAAAAAAAAAATGACACAATAATTGGTTGTCTCCCACACAACTACGATTGGGCTGGGGATCAAATCTGCAACCCAGGTATATGCCCTTGACCAGAATCGAACCTGAGACCTTTCAGTCCTCAGGATGACACTCTAACCACTGACCAAACCAGTCAGGGCCATCATGCCTTTTAATGATTTATGCACAGTGTAGATGGAGGTCAATAACTGAATATTTTCCATCTTTTTGTTGTTGTTGTTGTTATTATCCTCACCCAAGGACATTTTTTCATTTTTTTGTTCAGATAGAGCAGGAGGGAGAGAGAGGAAGAGAGAGAAACATCGACGTGAAAGGTACACATCAGGTACACATCGAGTGGCTGCCACCCGCACGACCCAACCAGGCCGAGGACAAACTGCAACGGAGTACATGCTCTTAGCGGAAACCGAACCCGGGTCTCTCTGGACCGCAGGCCGACGCTCTAACCGCTGAGCCAAACCGGCCAGAGCCCATCAATTTATTTTTTTATTTTTTTATTTTTTATCCTCACCCGAGGATATTTTTCCATTTTTTGTACAGATAGAGTGGGAGGGAGAGAGAGGAAGAGAGAGAGAGGGAAATATCGACGTGAAGGGACACATCGAGTGGCTGCCACCCGCACGACCAACCAGGGCCGGGGACAAACTGCAACCGAAGTACGTGCCCTTAGCGGGAACCGAACCCGGGTCTCTCCGGACCGCAGGCCGACACTCTAACCGCTGAGCCAAACTGGCCAGGGCCGTCAATTTTTTTTTTAATGCAAAGATATAATTTATTGGTGTCTTTTAAATTATTATTTTTTTGAGTATACTTTTCCATTGATTTTTAGATATAGTGGGAGGGAGGAGGGGGAGAGAGAGAAACATTGATGTGAGAGACACACTGACCCAGCTGTCTCCTGAATGACCCCAACCAGGGCTGGGAATAGAACCTGCAAATGAGGTATGTGCCCTTGACTGGGAATCAAACCCATGACCTTTCAGTCTGAGGGCCTATGCTCCAACTGCTGAGCCAAACTAGCCAGGGTTTAAATTTCTTTTAATATACAATTTATTTTAAAATGTTTTAATAGGCTGCCATCAACAAATCATCAAACAACAAGTGCTGGCGAGGGTGTGAAGAAAAGGGGACTCTAGCACAATGCTGGTGGGAATGCAGACTGGTGCAGCCACTATGGAAAACAATATGGTGTTTCCTCAAAAAATTAAAAACTGCCATTTGATCCAGTGATCCTACTTCTAGGAATATATCCTAAGAAGTCTGAAACACCAATCAGAAAGAATATATGTACTCCTATGTTCATAGCAGCACTATTTACAATCGCTAAGATCTGGAAATAGCCCAAGTGTCCATCAATAGATGAGTGGATAAAAAAGCTGTGGTACATATATACAATGGAGTACTATGCAGCTGTAAGAAAGACCTCTTATCCTTCGAGACAACATGGAGGGACTTCGAGAGTATTATGCTAAGCAAAATAAGTCAATCAGAGAAAGAGAAATACTACATGATCTTACTTATTTGTGGAATATAATGAACAAGATGGGCTCATGAACAAAATAGACCCAGAGACATAGAAAGGAGTATGGTTCAGATTGACAAATCTCAGGCGGGGGGATGGATGAGATGAACCAAAGGACTTATATGCATGTATGTGTAACCAATGGACATAGACAGTGCAGGGGGCGGGGGGGACAGGATGGGGAGGAGGGTGTCGGGGGGGGGGGGGAAGAAACTTCTGTAACAAAAATAAATTAATAAAAATTGAAAAAAAATGCTTTAATATAAAGTTTGTGTGCATGCATAATTTGACTTTAATCTCACCCTAGAAGTAGGCCAGATAGTATTTAAGGACCCCTATCTGGTGGCTATGTGGGTGCTTTATTTATTTTTATTCTCACTCGAGGATATATTTATTGATTTGGGAGAGATAGAAACATCCACCGGTTGCCCCCAATTGCCTGTCCCCCTTCCCCAACCCAAGAATGTGCCCTGAATTGAACCAGAAACCTTTTGGTGCACGGGACAATGCTCCAAATGAGTGGGCAGGTGGGCGTTTTAAAGACTGTCACCTAAATCTACATCAATGTTAATAAGCATAAAGGATGTTAGTAATTAATGAAATTAGCTTGAAAGGTAAGTGGTCACCTAGAAAGGTAAAAATTCATGAAATGAGGTATAAGAATATGGCAGATCCTGCAAGCTCATGACTTTTGATTAGTTCCTCAAGTCTAGAGCTCATTTTGTCCCTGTGTGTCCTGAGCCCCATGCATTTAAGACTGTTGCTGATCCAATTAGGTCACCTAATTCTTCCTTCAGAATATCACGGCTTCTGCTTCACTGTGAATCCTTCAGTCCAGGTGTTCGTGTGATTATGAGCACAGAAGAATCTTCACCAAGCTTTCCATGGCCCTGTTTGCTGTTATTTGTTCATGTGAAAGAACTCTGTTTTTCTTTTATTGTAATAATCACCAGGTAGTGAGGTTATGAAGGGACATACAGCTTTACCTTCCAGTAAAAGCAGGTGACTACCAAATGAATCTGTGATCGGTGACGAAATTGGCCTAGTCTGCAATGAGGTGGAGGGGAACTACAAATCCATCCATCTGTATTCCATGGTGAGGGTCATATTCGATCCCTGGGCACTGCCCTTACTGTAGTGCCTACAGAAGACCTCTGTAAGACTTTGTAACTGAACTTCAAGAGCTGGACAGAAAGCAATTGGCCATTCAGGCCAAGGTCATCCTTTGGCAGTGTCATTCTTAAGACAAAGTTAACAATTTCGTACCACTTCAATTAAAACTTGACTACTCAGAAGGCTTTCATTTTGCTAACGATTGCTCAAGTTTAAAAATGTAAATAATAATAAAAAAAAAAGAGCCAAAATAGAATTATTGCTCTAATTTTAAATAAATCTATTCTATATACCTGCTCAGAGGAAGCTGGGAAAATGTCATTGAGGACAAATAAAGGGCAATTTGAAAACTCAAGCATCAACCTGAGTGAAAGTATAACATATGAGAAACCTAAAAGCAAAACTATGTCAAACACATTTGGTGTTTCATGCTAGGTTGATTTAAACAAATAAAACAACTTTGCTGAACAGATTTTTTAAATATGATTATGTATATACATGGACAACTGGGTATAGGGAAAACCCTCGAATTGATGTTTTAACAAATTACACCTATTACTAAAGAGGATATGCTTGAATTTTAAGGAAATAGTCCAATAAATGAAGTCTCTCATTCAATCTGGTAGATGAACAGATCTCTCTTTTAATAAAAGCCAATACATGACAGTGGTAGTTTACCTTTTTATATACTCCACATAAAAACATGTGTTCACTCTCCTTCAATATTTAGTTATTAGTAGTCTCTCAAACAGTAAAATAAAATGAAATTTATATTAGTAAACGAAAGTGCAGGTTTGTACAGCTAAACTCAGCAGCCAAGTGAAGGTAAATGAAAAGTGAAAGCTGATGGATGCCACGCGGAACGAGGACATTCGTGAAGGTGTCCCGCACGGTGTCCCGTGTGCCAAACACAGTCAACATCCCATCACTTTCTCATTGCTCTTAAACGAGCAAAACCAAATTCTTTTTTTAATTTTTTATTTAAAGAAATATTAAGTCTTTATCTCTCTTCCCCCCAACATAATCTGTGATCAGGTAAGGCAAAGGTAAGTCCCACCATCACTGGGGACAGCAGCAATACACAGACTTTGGAAATAACCCTGAATCATCAGTAACATTCTCTCATGGTAACACAAGGAATGAATCTAATAAGTCAAATCTACACTGTTGTCACATTATTCTAATTTATTTGATTAGTTTATCTGGAAAAAAAACTTTATAAATACATATTTAAGAGGACAGTAAATTATTTTCTTGCTCTGAAAAAATAATGTCTTTTCCCCTTCACATTTAAAAACTGGTTAGTACACTTTTGGAAAAAGAGATGCAAGAATGTGACTGCTGGATTTGCAGAATGTCCATGTACAAGTTACATTTACAAGAACCTGGTAACCTGCCTATAATTTGCCTCTACAAATAGAGCTCCTTGCAATATTATTTAAACAAACAGGCTTAATTCAAACACTTCTCCTAGTCACTCTACTTGCAGAGCAAAGAGGTACTTATTCTTCAAGTATTGTATTGTAAAAGGTACATTTTTTTGGTGCCAATTTTACCTGTTAGCTTTTAAAGACCGAAATAGCCATGTGAAAAGTCATGCCAAGTCAGCCCATTTCTTTTATAACCAAACGCTCTAAGCTTTCAGAGAATTAAAAAAAAAAAAATTGATTTGCTCAATGGAAAAAGCCATTTTAAAGTACTTAAGAACGAGGAGCATTTTTCTTCTATTGGCGAAAATGATTAGAAAAGCTATCCAGTCTGTTGTCTTTAGCTAGTTTTAATAAAGTCTTTTCAAAATGATGGTCAAGAAATCTTTAGAAAACTGGAGGATGGGGGATGCTCCTTTCCAGCATGGAAGGAATTCCATTAATTGTAGAAATTCTTATTAAATTTCTGCTTTGGTTCTTCAGAAGAAATGCTCATATAACTTCTGTATTGGGAGACAGGAAAAAAGAACCGATTAAGTTTTTATCTAAAATCTTATTTAAAGATTACCATATAATATCTTACATTTCAAAAACTTTACCATGCTTTTAAGAATAGGTAATTTTACCAGGATCCATGATCACATATTGACGTGAATCCTACCACTAATAGGAAAACACATGCCCTTTTCTTTACTTCAAGTCAAGCTATCTCATTTACTTTGCTAAACTGCATACAGTGATTGTACTTTTCTTTGAAATTAGGGACTTACATACGTCTTGTATCCTTGATTCCTGATGCTCCTGTCTCCAAACATATATGTTGGAGGTTAAATAAATGTTTGTTACTAAATAGTCATGATCCCAAAAGAACCCCTACATCACTTAAGATCACAGACATTGGACTACCCTCCTAGAGGAGGTCTGGAAGGGTGGGCACAGTGAGAATGAAAGACAGGTCGATCAAAAGGTGACTTAAGGCCTGGCAAGCGAAGCCGAAAGTCACCTTGGATGTTCCTGGCCTCTCTGTGGATCTGCAACATGACAAAGGAGGAAGCTGCACCAGCAGTGTTTCCACCAACACGCATAATGAGACTGTCCCCAGAGGCTGAGGAGTCAGAATGTCAGACCCGGGAGGGACCTTATAGCTTCCTTTTACAGTCTAGAAAAGTGGATCACTAAAGTGAAGTTATACTCCCAAGGTCACTACACTACAGAAGCAAAAAAGACTTATTTGGATAGGTGGTTCATCACTGGCTTTTTCAACACTTGAAAGTGGAAAATATTTGTTACAAGTTCACAGATGGGATGTAAAAGAAAAAAATAATTTGATCTTAAATACTTCTTTACTGACTCCATTTAAACATGCTGAGTTTGGCCAGCTCAGTTCATTATATAAAGAAATGCTGTCAATACATGGAACTGATCTGCTGGGAAGAGAAGCTGACAGAATTCAAAAAGATTTGATAAAAGATAGGGCCAGGGTTATCCTACTTGTCCTTGAAACTGATGGGGCTGTGCTGTTGAGTTGCTATGACCACTAAGTTGATGTACTCCTTATTTCTTTGGGTCCTGTAAAGCTATTGGTCTTGTACAAAGACTTCAGGTCAAGTGTGAGTCCCAGAGACAGAGTATAAGAGTCACTGGCAGTTTTCACAACAGCTATAGTCACTCAACAAGGGATGGAAGACTCTTGGGCTCAGTGTGCTCCTAGTTCGGAATATGTTCCCATTACCTAAACTATAACTACCTTATTATATGTAAAAAGGACAGTAGTATATTGTCCAGGTTGTTTGACCCAAACAAGAGAAAAATGATGGGAGAACATGATGGCAGTCTTCATATCTAAAGAGCTGAGAAAGATGGAATAAAAACCAAACGCCTTTTCTCCAGTGGGCAGAACCAGCCCAATAGTCCCCAAGTTACAGCAAGGTACTAAGTGCATGTCTTTATCTGAAGCATGTTGGGCAGTGAGCACTGCTCCGAGAGGCGCATGGACACCTAAAGGGTGCTGCACACTGAATTTCCGCACTGAGTGGGGGAATCAGAGGAGCCCCAGAAGTTGCCCAAACCAACTCAAAATTCAATTTCTGTGATTCCCCGCACAATCTTGTGGCTTATTTGGTCCACTGAATAAGGACAAAGCCTGCCACAGTCACAGTGAAGAAGGTTCATTCCCTCTTGGGTATCACATATATCTGATGATTACTGAAGAAGATTTGAGGCAAGCTCACCTGCTGTCTGTTGTGTTTGAACACCATCTACCTGAGTCAGGGGCCCAAGCGACCCTTCATCTTCAAAGGCCAAAATTGGATTCAAAGGAATCTCTGGGTTCTCACTGTTGGTGACATCTAATCTGGATGGTGTAGATCCAATGGGTAAGTTTATGATTTCTTCAAAATTTTCATTGTCAAGAGATACTCCATTTTCATTTGGTTGTTTTTCCAAATTGGGAGTACTGGGAAATTTAAAAAAATCAAAATAAAAACAAATTAGTATTAAAAATGGAAAACACAGTTTTAGAACAATCCAATACGGTTTTATAATAAATAATTTTATGCCTGGCTGGTGTGACTCAGTGCCCTGACCTGGAATCAAACCGGGACCTCTCAGTCCGTGGGACGATGCTCAATCCACTGAGCCACACCAGCCAGGCAAAAATTTCTGATTTGAATACAGGATGGGGCAAAAGTAGGTTTACAGTTGTTCATATGGAAAATCACACAATAATTAGTAAATCATAATACAAGAATAAACTCTGTTTTGCATACTCACAACTGTAAACCTACTTACCCCACCCTGTATTTTGGTGCATTATAAAGTATCAAATCTTTTCTTCTAGGAAAAAAAAAGATGCCTGTCCTCACTCAGTACCTTACAAGGCGCTGCAAAGGTACACTGAAAAATTTTATAAAAGTGCTGTGAAAGGAAAACACAAACACATTATACAGACTCAGAGCATGACGGTGCTTTTCTGGTATTTCACCGAGGGGAGAGGAGGCTTGGCGTCACGCAGCCTGCACGAGCACGCACACGCATGCACACACGCTTTACACCTGCCCTTCCAAGTGCTCGGGCTGCCACACCCAACCTCCTGCTCATTCCCAACACCGATGGGCTTTCTGTAACCAGGGAAACACTTCTTGTTCTCATCCCAAAGACATTTTAAGAAGTTCTGGCAAAAGGTAAAGCGGAGGAATGCCTCTGCGAAGCCCTCACTCCTTGGCCATCTCAACTGCCTTGCCCTGGTAGGCTGCATGTGCTAACAAGCTGTGATGGCACCGCCAACTCCAGGCTGTGTCAACGGCTGACTTCATTTCCCCTTCCCACTCCTATCTGGCTACCCCGCCCATTCTTCCTTGTCAGCAAATAGAGGAATAATTGTGCCATATGCTTTGGGTAAGCAATTATTAAGTGTTCAGAGGGCACTGTGAATAGCAGGAATGAGAGAACTAAAACAGAAATCACTGGGGTTATGGATCTAGGCGTATTCTGAGAATAAGAGCACCAGCTTCTGGATTCCCTTCTTTGGGCTACACTCTGGAGGTTGGAGCTGGATGCAAGACTCCTGAAGCCCATGTACTTCACTCTGTCAGTCCAAACCCAGAAAAGGGCACTGGGACCAGGGCAGCAATCTGATAGGGACCATACTGCTGACTGTTGTCAGGACTTTATTTTTCTTAGTGTTCATTATCATGCTATTACAAATAATTTAAAAAGTAATATATCTCTTTCTATTTTAATGACAGGGGCTTGGTAATGTTACTTTTTCATTAGGCAAAAAACCAACAACAACAACATCAACAAAAACCTAAGTACAATGATAAATGCCTAAGATATGGAGGAAAACCATTAGGTCCAACATCCATTTACTACAAATCCCTTGAGAGAAGAAACATTCTATTGAAGAGACAGAGCCCCGAGGGCTAGGAACAAAGCATAAAATATCTTCTAGGGTATTAGGAGGGTAAGAGAGAAACCTGTATACCCATGAGTTTTTTAGCTTCTAGATTAGAGGTTCTCAGCTGGGGGTGGAAATATCTATCAGAACGATCTAAGAAATTGAAAATAGTTTCTTTGCGTTCACACATTTATCCTTTTTTTCCTGTTCAAAAGCAAGTTTCCCATTTATAAAAAAACAAAACACTCCTCCATCAATGGGCACTTCTCTATAAAAACCCTCTCAAGAACCAAAAAGGGCTTCTGGAGTAAAAATCATCCTTGCTCAAGTTTATGTATTTATTTGAAAGCTGGCCAGAATTTTGATAACTCCAATTTTCTTCAGTTCTACCTATTGTTAGTGGGGAGCCTGCTGGGCAAGGACAATGGCTTCCAGGCTTTTACAAGGATTGCACACAGAAGTTGAGAACCAAAGAAACCACAGAGCTAGCCGTGCCACTCAGGCCCCTCAAGGTCAGGAGTAAGGTTCAGGGAGTTTCTCTGCACCAGGAACTGCTGCTTGTCCTAGCTGCTGGAACAGTAACATTGGGAGGACATTAGCACGTCTCTGGGGATGGGGATGGTGAGTATAACCCAGTTCACAGCATTCATTTCTTTTTCTTGAAGAGAAACCAAACCAATGCATTAGGTACACGAGACATTAGGAAGAGTGAAACTTCTCTCAGTCGAACTAAAGGTATTCATTCTAAGGATTGGAGTTTTCTAGTGAAAACACACTCTGTCACAGTGTAATAGCATTTGTCATGATGGATGTCCACAGAGTACCAGCCACATCGAGTTCTTTGGAAGGGACCCTGGGAATCTCCGATTTGTGATTTAATTCATGGCGGGCAAGTGGGTGGCATCTTTAACTCTACGTTGGGTGCACAATAGGATATATAATAAATATGCTGACTTATTATGAGGATTATTAAATGCTTCATTAAACATAATGCACTGAGGTGAAAAACAATGACTTTGGTAGGTGATTTCAAGGTCAACTTGAAATTGGGAATAAAAAAGAACATCATGGCCCTGGCCAATTTGGCTCAGCAGTTAGAGCGTAGGCCTGCGGTCCTGAGAGACCCGGGTTCGGTTCCCGCTAAGGGTGCATACCTCGGTTGCAGTTTGTCCCCGGCCCTGGTCCGTTGTGCGGGTGGCAGCCACTCGATGTGTCCCTTTCCCATCGATGTTTCTCTCTCTCTCTCTGTTCCTCTCTCTCCCTCCCACTCTACCTGAACAAAAAATGGAAAAATGTCCTCGGGTGAGGATAAAAAAAAAAAAAAAAAAAAAGAACATCATGGATGTGACTTATTTGTAATTTTAAAGACTTTAACAGGTTTGCAGATGCAAAACTGTTTAAAAACTTGAGTCCCCATTAAATCAAAGGAAATGTGTACACATGAACAGAAGACTATCTAAGGGAAAGATATTAAGGTAGGTATAAGCAGGTCCCTTTCTAGATGGACGAGTATGAGAGATGGCAGAGAGCCTGAGGGATCCGTGCTAAGACTAGTTCAATAACCTAGAAGGTGTGCAGGATGAAAAATTTAAGTATGTAAATAGAGTTTATTCTGGGAAATGCTAGTCCTAAGAATAACCCGTTGAGGATAACAGAGAAAATCATTAAATGTAGGAAGGTAAAAGCAATGAGTTTAGAGAACTCTACAAAGAACCATCTTTAAAAGACAGTGAGCTGTCAGTCACAGTGAGGTAACCAACTTTGATTCTAAACTGTTTTCTGGTAACACCAATTCCTCATGTTTTGATGGTGAAAACAAGACCAATAAAATTCGAGACTTAAACATCACAAAAGCATTTTTCTGCAGAATCACACTGCAGCCACACCCAGTGTACTACATGTCTTTTTGACACTGCACTTCAGAAGGATAAAGATAAATAACATTTAACACTTGTATGGCACAACAGTTTTCAGACTCTTTCACAGACACTATTTCATTGAACTCTCCCACTGATTGGTTGCCTTCTGCATAACCCTTACCAGCGCCAGGACCAAACTGCAACAGAGATACGTGCCTTTGACTGGAATCAAACCCGTGACTGTATGGTCCAACTGCTGAGCCAAATCGGCCAGGGCATAAGCAGTGTTATTTTTAATTTGTTATTTTGGTTTTCCAGATAAATAAGAGCTATCAAAAATTTAAAACTAAGTTTATATTTGTAAAAATAATAAGAGTAACTCCTAGATCTAACTCTGGGAATCTGCTAGGTTTCTTTTTTCCTTTAAAGAGGAGACACACTGGCCCAGCCAGTGTGGCTTAATGGTTGAGCATCAACCTATGCACCAAGAGGTCACCAGTTTGATTTCCAGTCAGGGTACATGCCCAGGTTATGGGCCAAGTCCCAGTGTGGGGCATGCAGGAGGTGGCCAATTAATGTTCTCGCTCATCGATGTTTCTATATCTCTCTCTCCCTCTTCCTTCCTCTCTCTCTAAAATCAATAAAAATAAATAAATAAAATAAAATGCACATATGCATAACCAATGGACAACAATGCTGGGGGTGGGGGGGGCGGGATCAGGAGGAAGGTATCTAGGGGAGAAAAAGGAGAAACATCTGTAACAAAAATAAATTAATAAAAATTGCAAAAAATATCACTATCTGACATATATATCATATTTTAGAAAATAAAATAAAAGATTCATTTGCTTCAGCAGTGAGGAAGGTCAAATATCTGTGAGTAAATTATGCAAGAATATTCAGTAACTATATAAAACAAATTTTCAAACATTCTTACAGATTTAGCACTTGCAAACAACTGCATAGACAACTGGTTAAGAAGACTCAAAATCATAAAACTGTCACATGAAGTTTAATTTTAAATCTAATATGACCTTGGTCAATATATAATTATGTTAATTTTCCCCAGAACTAAAAATATAAATTTAAAATTAGTATAATCAATTAAATAAATATATCTAGGAAAACCAACAACAAAATATAAGGAACATGCTGTTCCAGACATTAAAATATATGAAAAGCCCTGGCCGGTTTGGCTCAGCGGTTGGAGCGTCGGCCTGCAGACCAGAGAGTCCCGGGTTCGGTTCCCACGAGGGACAAGTACCAAAAAGAAAAAAAAAAAATTGAGACTAAAATGTATGAAAAAACACCAATTATTAAACCATGCCACTAATTATTAAATAGTGCCATAACCGCACTATTTAACAACAGAACAAGTGTAACACCCCAAAACAGACCCAAAGGCATGAAATTAGAACATGGAAATGGAACAGACACCAAATGATGTAAGGACAACGAAGCAGCCATATGAAACTAAATCATCTTCAAAGAGCACCGCACACGGGACAGCAGGATTAATTCTAAATACATCAGATGCTTAAACATTAAAAAAAAGTGAACAAAGGATGTGAAAAAGTATATTATTCATTCTGAGTTGCAGTTACAGCATGTAAAAGTCAAAGAAAAAGTACACATGATGGAGTTAAAAAAAATAATTAAAGAAATAAGGAGGAGACACACTGGAGCCAGAGGATTACATTTGTTACGGAGATTCTTGTATTATATTCTGATATTTACATTTGATACTAAGCTGATCCGCTTGTATTGTTAGGTGAAAGAGTAGAAAAAATCTACTTATATTTCTCCTAGTTGTTAGACAGGGATCATCTTACATGGGTGACAAAGAACAATGTATTACTTGGGTAGAGATGGATGACACCAGTAAGTTCACAGAGCTGTATGTTTAAATTACAAACTGCTCTGTGTGCGGAGGAGGCTAAAAGAAAATAGAATTTTATTATCTATATCATTTTACATAGTAAATTAATGTTTTAGGTTCTTATATGATTAATAATTAGGTGATTTTACCACTGAAGAGAGTCAGTTAATGTATAAACTAATTTCATTGATCAGACAAAATGATCAGTGGCTTAATAAGCCTGTTCCTTATAATAATGGTGTTCACTCTGCGGTCCTTTTTATTCCTTCCTAAAAACTCAGATCAATGAACACCATAAATTATTCCAGTTGGAACCAAATATTTTATTTAAAAATCAAACTGTAATTAAAAGAATAAAATATCACCTAATATACATCATAGGTAATTATGACAATACATTTACTCAACATAACTGAAAGCTTATTATTTAAGATCTCTCTCAGGAAAATTATTCTCTTTGGTATTTTGCAGGCAAAATAAAAAAGATTTTACTGTCCCAGAAAGATGTCGATATATATGATTTGTGGATCTCTTATGATGACATCTTTTCATTGCTGTCCATTATGTTATATGCCCGGCTGGTGTGGCTCAGTGGTTGAACGTTGCCGGTTCGATTCCTGGTCAGGGCACATGCCCAGGTTGTGGGCCAAATCCCCAGCGGGGAGCATCCAGGAGGCAGCCAATCGATGTTCTCTGTTATTGATGTTTCTATCTCTCTCTCCCTCTCCCTTCCTCTGTAAAATCAATAAAGAAAAACAAACTTAAAAAAATATTATATAGTGTGTATTTTTAGATTTAAAAAATTAATTTGAGGACCGTAAATTTTCTGATGGTAGAGAAACTCTGGCATTAGAAAACAGAACACTCATTAAGTAATTAATTAAATTCTGAAAACTAAAATAAATCGTAGCTGAAATTTTGATTATTACAACTATTTCTACAAGTCCTCTGTGATTATATTATTAGGCACAGCTATGATTGCTCTCATTTTTCATTTTTGAGAGTGCTCTTATGTTGTTGATATAAGTGCAAGGAAGAAGAAATGCAATCTTTCAACACATTCTCTCTTTTTTTTTTTTCAGATAGAGCGGGAGGGAGAGAGGGGGAAGAGAGAGAGAGAAACATCAATGTGAGACACATCGACTGGTTGCCTCCCACACGACCCCAACTGGGGCCGGGGACACACTGCAACTGAGGTATGTGCCCTTAGCCGGAACCGAACCCGGACTCTCTGGACCGCAGGCCAATGTTCTAACTGCTGAGCCAAACCAGGGCAATTCTCTCTTCTTGACTGTTAGCAACTGTTTGATTCTTCAATAAGCCCGGCTACTACTAATATGTTATAAGAATTATTGGTATCTAAATTAATTTGACTGTGGAACAAACACTGACTCACTAAATATTATGGCAAAAATACAGTTGTTATATACCATTCAAGGGTGTGCATATGGTCTAAATCACGTTAAATATATACAGAGAAAAGTAAATTATTCCTTGTCATTTTCTTTAATAGTCACACAAAACCCTCACCATCATATTTAAAGACTCAAGAAAAAAGATATTTTCCCTTTCTCACAGTACAGAATTACTAGCTTTACCAAAATTTAATAAACCTAGATGTAAAAATAAATCCTAGTGTTAAACTGAAATTCCATCAGGCCCAGGAAATTCTGGTGGGATGAGTGGGTAAAACAGCAGCATCTGCTCTAATGCATGTCCGGAAAAAAGGCCATAGTGGCCTCGCTTACCTCTCCATGGTCACTTTGCATTGATGTGAGGCAACCACATGAGGGCTGGCCGCTGGGTCTCCGTTTCCTGGAGAGTTCATCAGACACGGAAGTGCAGACACCGCTGGACATGGCAAAGAAGATGAAACAAGGGGTTATTACTACTCTGCTGTCAAACGCAAACCCCAGGAGCTAGAAGGCCTGATTTCTGTCCTGTCTCTGGTAGTTATCAGCTGTGTGACCTTGGGCGAGTGACAAACTCTCCATGCCTCAGTTTCCCCATGGACAGTACCCACATAGGCCATTGTAGGAAGCAAATGTATTAACACATGCAAAGTACTTAGAATGCTGCCTGGCACATCGTAAGGGAGAAAACCAGTGTTATGACTTTTGCTTGCACGAAAATTGACTGTGGACAAAAAGTATATAATACTGAAAGCAAAGCAACTGATGAAAATAGCAGTGAGCTGACTTGATCAGGCTGTGGCTGAACATCTTTACTGAAGGGTTTGTAATAAATCACCATGAAATACCTTCAGAGATAAAAAATATTTTTAAAGCTCAGTTTAGTTCTAGTCACAGATGGAATATTAGGAATATCATGAACCGTACCTAACTGCGCCACCCTGTCATTCAATGCGCAGTACCAGTCCGGCTTAGGTCAACACTATTGATGACTCACTCTAAATTTGGGAGAGGGTTACTTAAAGCCTTGTAAACCTTCATGGGTGTTAGAGCTGCAGAGAAATTTGTGGCAGTTTATGGTTTTAGTTTGATGTGAGGAAATAAGTGAAATATTTCCAACAAAGTATTATTTCAACAGCCTGGCACAAATTCAATAAAACTGTCAGAGGTACAAAGAGTCTGATAACTGAAGTAAAGACGTGATTGATCATTTTAAAGTTGGCAACGTTTGCAAAGCTGGTGACAGGCTTGCAAAGCTGGTGACAGGTAAGTGCTGAGAAGACTTCTGATGGGTCTGTAAACTCACCTGCCTGCCGCCCTAGAATTCTCTTTGGAGCACTGGTGACCCCATTCAGCCCTCAATCAGATGTGGGGCCAGGAGAGGAGAAACAGTTGTTAGCCAGATCATCTCAGGCCTCCTTTTAGTGGTATTAACTCAAACCAATTTTTTTGTCAGTATTGATAAATAAAGTATGACAACTGACAAGTTTAACCTTCCCTCTGGCCTTTCTTCATTCTCAGACTGAGGAACAAAGAACACTGAAAGAACTGACAGGGGAACAGCAGGAAGGGGAAAGCTAAACAAATAACAAGGAGCCAGGCCGTGCACACACTGCAGCATCAGCCCCTCAGACAATCCTGAGCTGGTGCGATTTACGTCCTGATATGCTCAGTCCGGTGGCTCACTGGGTGCTATGCTTGCTGACAGTCTATCTAGTATAACATTTTTGGAGACACCTGCTGAAAAATGCAATGGGGTTAATATGCAACCACTAGGGCTACTCTCCAAACAAATACAATTAGGGCATCTTTAACAGAGCATGAAAACCCCACTATAAAGCAATCATGACACACAGAAACTAAGATAGTCTCTATTAAAATAAAACCAAATCCCACAAAATAAATATTTTATATTTGAAGACCCCCCAGAGCTGACAGAAAATATCCTTTCACAGAAATAATTTGATTTGATCGTTACCCTCATCTTTACAAATAAACAGAAAAAGAAACTGAGGTATCTCCGGTCCTTTCTTTTCATATTCATATTATAATTAGGAAAGAGGAAGACCTGAATGAGGAGCTACCTACAACCACCTGTATGGACAGTCATGAAGACCACATGGGATCACGGAACAGAATTAGCAGCTGGTGACTTGGACTGTAGTTGTGAAAACTGGGCCTGTCACTCTATGTGAGTGTCTCTCGGAGGCAGGGACCTGCCTGTCTGGTCACACTAAATCCTAGCACCTACAACAAGGCCTGGCACATAGCAGGTCTCCGAAATGCTTGCTGGCTCCTGGATACAGCACCTTCTCCCTCACAAGGCTGCAGTGGCAATTAAACAAGAAAATGTATGCAGAGTGTACCTGACACAAAAGGGCATTTAGTTAAGTATTAAATGAATCTGAATACTACAACACTGTTATTTTTAGTTAAACCAAATCTGGTTTAAAATCACCAAGAAATTAATCTGTCTCTAGCATATGAATAACTTTCTAATAAAATTTCAACAGATTTTAAATTTTAACTCTATTCTGAAGTCAGAACTAAAAGAAATAATATTTAAATTCTTTTTGAGAACTGCTATAAATACAAGTTGTCAAAATAAAATTAAATAAAATTTAATTTTGTAAATGCAAAGAAAATATTTAAATTATATGAATATACATATATGTAATATATCTCTCTATACAGCCACACACACACACACACAAAAGAGTAAAATGACTTAAGATATTAAGCACTCCATATAAACAAATGTGAAAAAACATCTTCCAGAAATGCTAGAGAGTTTTACAGAGGGGAAATTTTGTGGAGCACATGATACACACCTAAGATTCTGTGAGCCAATCATATATATATATATATATATTTGTTTGTTTTTATTTTTTTTAGTCCTCACCCGAGGACATTTTTTGATATTTTGTTCACAGAGAGTGGGAGGGAGAGAGAGAGAAACATCGACGTGAAAGGGACACATCGAGTGGTCGCCACCCACATGACCCAACCAGGGCCGGGGACAAACTGCAACCGAGGTTGCATGCCCTTAGCAGGAACCGAACCCGGGTGTCTCTGGACCGCAGGCCGACGCTCTAACCGCTGAGCCAAACTGGCCAGGGCTATATATATATATATATTTTTTAATCAACCAATGACTATCTTGACCTCTAGAAAGTCAATTAAAAACTTCTCTATTCGAATTGAATTCTTTGAAATAAATACCTGTTCCTCCAGTGAGAGCTCCCTTGGCTATATCTCCATTTCTCTGATCAACAGCTTTCTACCAAAGAAGAAAAGGAAAAAGACTTTTTAATGTTAAAGGTACAAGTGAAGTACAGAAAGATAAAATAAAAGCTATTAAGAATAGCTAAAAATGGCCATCTCAATACCTTATCTGCGGCTTCTGTTCTCCTGGTTCTTCTCATAATCTCCTCAAGTCGCTATAAGGAGGAGGAATTGAACCAACAGATCAGATACAGGAGGAAAGCCGGCACATTTCACTTACTAAGCCAATAGCAGGTCATTACAACATGTCTGTTATTTTGGGAAAATATGATACCCACTGCTTTGTCTTAATTGGAGTTATCCCAAAAAGTTGGAACTGCCTTAAACCCCATGAACTGGAAGTAATTTTTTGGTGAAGGTTGGAATATAAACAGTGATTTCTTTGGAGGAGATGATTAATGTGAGAGTTTAGTTTGTCCGGAATGGGCCGGGCACGGTTGTTTTCTGATGGCAATGCGCCAGTCTCCTGGTCTTGCCCGGCTTCGAGTCTAGAAAGAATCAGGACAACCAGTGTCCCGGGCTTGGGCTCAGACGCCACTACCTTCTTTCTCTCCAGGCGCTCCTGCTCCTCTCTCTGGAAATGCTTCTCGCGTTCCTGCCGGGCCCGCTCTGCTTCTTCGCGGACGCGAGCCTCTTCCTCTTTCTGCAGACAAGAGGTCGGCACGTGCTTACCGGGCGCTGGCCTGCGGCCCCATCTCTGGGGCGCCCGGGGTGGGGCAGGGCAGCAGGTGGGGCGTGCGGGGCGGGAGTGCCCGCGAGGCCCAGGGCAGTTCTAGCACCCACCGCCCCCTCCCTCTGCCCAGCCGCGGGGCAGCCCGAGCGAGCGGTGCCCGCGCCCGCCACCTGCTTCTGCAGCCGCTCCAGGTCCTCGCGCGCGCGCTCCTCCGCCTGCCGCCGCAGCTGCTCCTCCCTCTCCCGGGCCTGCTCCGCTTCCAGCCGGCTGGCCTCTGCCTCCCGCCGGCTTCTCTCCTCCGCCGCCTTCCGAGCCAGCTCCTCTCTCTTCTGTCTGCAGCAAGAGAAGAACAAAACGGACACACGTGAGGGGCATTCCTCGGAGCGAGCTCGGGTGTGCGGTCACTGCCGGGACGGCTGGTTCGGAGGTCTGGCAGGAAGGTCACCCTGGGACACCCCCTGTCCTTCTTCAGGGACAAACTGCGCAGCCACCTGCCACTCTTCCCCCTAGTCCCAGTCCCTGTTGCCTTGTGGCGGAATATGACCGTTTACACGTGTGGGAGAGCTCGTTTTGTAAAAGAAGCTGCAATTTAACCATGTCGAAGGGCTGGAACTCATGTGAGTCTGTCCCCCCACCCCCTCCATTCTCTGTCAGTAAACAAGGTCATGACGTTGTGCCACAGGACAGGAGGAAGATGGCCTATGCATGCTCCCTGTTGGGACTAGCTCCAAGGTGGCAGCCATCCTCCCCAGGGTGCAGTTCCGCTTATCTGAAGAACAATTACGTGGACATTAGCCTTATTAGCCCCAGAAGGACACCAACTAAGAAAACCTTCCTTGGCAATACTGCCTGGCAGGCAGTCCCGGCCCTAACCCTCTCACCCAGCTACCTTCTGAGAGGACTTCTATCTGGAAGGAAGAAAACATGAACTTTTACTATTCAGCTTCAAAATGATCGTTAGAAAGATAATGAGGAAACATGGAGATTAGAGAGAGATGTTACATAAAAAAACCTAGACTGTACAATTGTACCTCTACTGTAGTTATAATTATGTAAATATGTGTGTGTATGTGTATATATAATGGCAAACTATTTACAGAGACTGGAAAAGATTATTCAAAATATACACAATTATTGGAAACTGGCAAGATTACTGATCTCTCTCTCTCTCTCTCTCTTGATTTTTTAAAAAAGAGAGAGAAACATCCATTGGCTGCCTCCTGCACACCCCCTACTGGGGATCGAGTTGAAACCTGGGCATGTGCCCTGATGGGGAATTGAACCTGGACCTCTCTGTCCACAGGATGATGTTCAATCCACTGAGCCCATGGGCAGTGCTGGATTTTTTTCTTTAAACCTTCCTTCATTAATATCGTTGTATTGTCATTATAGTAAGAAAACGTGATTTAAAGACAATCACTTAGTGGCCATAGGAACACCAGGTAAGAGTAATTTGGAAACAATTAGTCCCATTCACCTTGCTCACTGCTACCACCTCTTGTCTCTGTGCCCGCAGACTGACTCCAAGGTGTCAAGGCATCGCTGTAACATCACTTAGTAATGCCACTCCTTTACCTTTCGAGCTCCTCCCGCTCCCTCTTCTCTCTTTCCTCCTTCTCTCTCTGCTCTCGGGCCAGCCGCCTCTTCTCAGCCAGCAGCCTCGTGGCCTCTTCCGGGTCGGTGGTGCCTGCCGAGGTCTTAGGAGCAGCACTGGGAGTCACAGTCGGTGACGGGACCGAGGCCGAAACCGCGGCGGGGACCGAGGCTGGAATGGGGGCTGGGACTGGAGCTGGGGCCAGAGCTGGGACTGGAGCAGCTGTACAAAAAGGTACAAGGAGAAAGCCAGTTGGAAACAAAACACAAAGAACAAAACAAAAACTAGCATTCCCCACACCCTAGGCCTAGAATTCATCATTATACATGAAAGGGAGTGTTTATTACTGTGTTCTCACGGTTTCACTGTATTCTATCTGTAACCAAGCAACAGATAACAAAAGCTGCATGTGTAAGTGAGACATCCAACAAAGCTGACACTTTTCAACAAGTCTTATTTTCATACAAGTTAAATCAGTTAACAACATATGTCGAATGTGCACTGAGCACACCTCACGTTAGGTTCTGTGGGAAGTTACACCCGGAGCAAAAAGAAGGTGCGATCTTCCATTTGCCTTTGATTAAATTTTAAAAATCCTTCTCTTTAGTGACTATTCATTACTAGAGGATGAAAGCTGACCATCCTCAGAGTCCATGCCACGAGCCCAGACTCAGGCTGGGAAGATGACACCCAATGAAGACGTCCCTTTTGTCCACCCAGAGCTATGTCCAGGTTTGAGGCGGGAGGAGCCAAGGGCCATTCCAGAAGCTAGCACTTGTACACCTTCTATGTCCCCGGTCTCCACTGTCCGTCCTGACGCCAAGATGCAGGATGGGAGCAGAAGTTCTCTGACCTTATTCAGATTCAGGAACATGACCTAGAGAGCTGGCACAGCAGGAAGCGCCACACGGAGGCGCCGCAGCGACCATTCCAGACCCGCCTGTCAGGATTCACCTTTCTCCTTCCACTCCCACAGATTTTCTTCATGCTCAGGATGCTCTTTGGCCTTTCTCTTCTCCTTTGCATTCAAACAAATACCATCCCCCTCCATTCTCTAAAAACCCTATCTGTCTTGAGTCATCAGTTCTTTTGCCCTAGCTGCCCTCTATCTTCAAATTACGTCTTAAGGAGGAAACTTTTGAATAAAGACAATTTTCAACAAGAAATACTAAATTCCTAGTTCCAGGTGACTTCAAACTTCTAAATAGCATCTGGTTGGCTGGGAAGAGATGAGATCCACTGGGTCTTCTGGGAAAAGTTCTGATCTCTGTCACGCACGTAGGCTAAGCCAGTGGTCCTTATATTTGCAGGAATAGGGTGACAACGCCGTGCTGCACACTATCTGGCAATCCTGCACAGAAGTCACCTGGAAAGCTTAGTATTTTCTCGAGTCCTTGGATCCACCACATATTCTGATTCAGCAAGTGTGAGGTAGGGCCAAGCTTCTGAAGTTTGAAACATCATAGATATGGTGGTTTAAAAATATTTGCACAAATGGTTTGACAATTTTCCCTTTAAATGGTGGAGAGTAATCCTCGCCACCCGAGTGTGAGTTGAACCTAGGGGCTTGTTTCCAAAGAACAGAATATGACAAAAATTGTGGCTTGTGTCGCTTCCAAGACTAGGCAGAGAAGAAACTGTGGATTCCTCCGGATTTTCTCTCTTAGATCACTCACTCTGAGGGAAGCCAGCAGAGCAAGCCGACTGATAGTGAAGACATCAAGCAACCCTATGGAGAAGTTGACATGTCACAGAACCGCGGCCACCTGATGACAGCCATGTGTATGAGCCATCCTCCAACCACCCAGCCAAGCTGCTCCCAATCCCTGACTGGAGACTCTGTGTGATATAATAACTGTTTGTTGTTGTTTTAAGCTGTAAAGTTTTAGGATGATTTGTAACACAGCAATAGATAATCCAAGTGATTCTGATGCAGGTACTCTGAACACCATATTTTGTGAAAATAATAAAGGAATCAGTAACCATAACTGAATTAACATGCTATGGCTCCAACAGTAGGCTTCTGGATATACAAGTATACTTTCTTTATAGGTAAGAAAACTATACTTAACAAAAGTTCCCCAAATTAGCCTCAGAATACAATTTCCAATTCCCTAATAAGTTGGGGGGGGGGGCAGGAAAAACAGGGAGAGAGAGCAAGCAACCCTCATTCCATCACAAGTGAGTAGATTCTTACCAGAGGCAGCCTCTGGCTCACCAGGTGTCCCCTCTTCAACTGTGGCTTCTTCTACCTTCACTAAAGGTGCTCTGCCCTTCAGCGAGGGCTCATTGGCAACTTTCTGAGGTTCCTTCTCCAGGTCTTTTCTCTCAGGCTCCACTCTGACTTCTCTCTTGACAGGGCGGATGTTGCCAGGGGACGGGGGCCGGACCTGAGCAGGGGCAGCTTTGACCGACCCGGGAGGCAAGGAAGATGCAGGCCTGGGTGTGCCAGGCAAGTGAGGAAGGGACTTGGATGGAAGCCTGGGAGACACACAGCACAAAGAGAAGGGGGCATGTCAGAACAGGTTTGCCAGAATCTTCCGTTCCCAAGCCCCTTACCATTTCATATGGAAAAGAAATGAAGGTATTTAGCTTTGCATGTCTGTCTTTCATGTGACAGATGCAGAAATATTCATTTAAAGACCCATTCCATTTTCTTTCTTTAAGGAAAACTGTTATTCTCTGAGTCAAGACCAGACTGTGTGGGGGAATAGCTTCCTTTCAGAGGACAGAGGCTACTCCTCCTCCAGCGTGGAACCACCCAGGCAGCCTCGTGTTTCCCTTACCACAGTCGGGAGGAAGCTGGTGATCTGGCTTTGGGGTGAGATGGAGACCAAGCCCTTCGGATGCCGGATGTGAGGTGGAAGGGCACGTTTTCTCTCTCCCTCTCTCTTTTATGGCCCTGAGTTCAGAGAAACACAATAATTAGACTTTTCCCATGTGTTGGACAGCTCCATTCAGGGTATTCAACAATGGAGCTGCAATCCATTGAATGTCTTCTTAGATTATTTTCTAACCTTCCTTATTTATCTCCATTCCATCCCAACAAAAGGCCTGTGTTAGCTTTAAACCAAACATTATACTAAATTAACACAGTGTGACACTAATAAGAAGGTTCTGGATGAGTGATTTGGAATTACATTTGTAAGAAAAAATGCACTTATATTTTTAGAAAACACCTATACTTTGTGTCTAAAATTACTGGGAGCAAAATCTCTCATAATCTGGTTCAGCCCATATAAATGTCAAAATAGTCACTTCCAGTTTTACCCAATTTTTAATTAAAACACACCTTTATATCTTTAAATTCTTTAGCACTATTCTGGAACATACCATAGCTCAGCCACACACACCCCCTTTTTAAACTTATATGTCAGCTCTATCAGACTTTAATTCATTTTTTTTTTCGATTTTCAGTCTTCTTCACGAGGGATGGAATCGTAGTGCGAGGATGGGCCCCAACACAGCCCTCCTCCGACTGCCAGCTGAGAATTCAGCCAGAGGACACCTTCCCTAAGCTGCGACAGGCGATGGGAGACCCGGAGAAGTGTTCCAATAGTCTAAAGTTAACCAAGACAAAACGTTGCTCAGGGCACAGAAGACTCATTTCAGGTATCTGAAACTCGACAGTGTCCTGGGATGGAAATGGATGCTCACTAAGACACCTGTGTGGGCACCTGGCAGCCCTGCACTCCGTGGGACCGTTCAGGAAAGCAGACTGTGAGTGTACAGGGAAACGGACAGAATATTATCTGGTCTCAGGGCCAGTAAGTTTGCAGTGTACCTTCTCGTCTTTCCTTTTCTGGTTCAAGCACCAACTCCCCTCTTCCTCCCCTTTTTGTTTCCTTCACTGTCCCTTTAATTGCTTCTCTGTTTTCCTTAGTAGCATCCTAGTTGACAGACTGGGCAACGTGGCGTGGGGCACATCTAAGTGTCAAATGATACTCAATGTCTTCCGGAATAAAACAAATGAAGAGTAGGGCAGGAAAGACCTTCAGAAGATGCATGGCAGCTCTGTATCACTGGAGCTACATCGCCACTCTTTGCCCCACATCTCTGGTCTCAGAAGTGGGAGGGTGTGCCTCAGAGACCAGTCCTTGGGTAGCAGAAGCAGCAGCCACCACATGGGACTCTCCTGGCAGGTGTACAGGGTGGTAATTCTGCCTCTGGTGGATCAGTCCCTGGAGAGGAAGGTTCAGGGGCTCTTCACAAGGGAGGTGGGGGTTAAGCACTTAAGTACCTTTTCCCTTTTACTCAAAACATTTTTGTTTGGTTGAAGTCAGATCACGAAGAGATCTGAACAGGAAAATAAGGAAGAGTGATTTGTGATGTGGAGGGTTTGGGAATGAATTTCATTATCTGTACCTCGACAAGACATATTAGGGAATGAATCTACACATACAAATATAATACTCAGATATTCTTTTTTTTAAATTGATTTTTAGAGAGAGAGGAAGGGAGAGAGAGAGAGAGAAATAGAAACATCAATGATGAGAACATCGATTGGCCTTCTCCTGCATACTCCAAACTGGGGATTTGTCCCACAACCTGGGCATGTGCCCTGACTGGGAATTGAACTGATGACCTCTTAATACATGGGTCGATGCTCAACCACTGAGCCACACCAGCTGGGCCAGACAGTCTTTTTTTAAAGTAGCATTGAACCAATTTTTTCTTTCTTAAAATTGACCTCCTTTTAATTTACCTTAAAGGAGTAGGGGAGAGTGGGAAAGCAGTTTGGAAAATGCTCAGTTCTTGAGATAATACACTCCCAGGCAGATCGATGTTTTTACCTTTCATTGGTCTTGTGCATAATCACTTGTTTGGGTACCACACATGTTAAAGGTGCTCTTGATTATCATCTTGATCTGATTAAAAAGCCAGCAATCTGTACAATAATCTTTATTGTTAAGACTTTCCACAAGGCTAAGGTGGAATTTCTGCAGTAAGCTGCTCATGTCAATGGTCTGGACAACTTCCCAGCAAAACAAAGACTTTAATTACAATTAGAGGTAGGTTTAGAATACAAATAACCTCCCAGAGAGACAATACAGACGGACACTCTAAGGCAACACTGTCCAATAGAATCTTTTATGATGACAGAAATGTTCTAAATCTATGATGTCTAATATGGTAGCCACAAGCTACATTTGGCTATTTGAATTTTGATCTAAATTAATTACAATTAAATAAAATTAAAAATTAAATTCAGTCTCACAAAACATATTTCAAGTGCTCAATAGTAGCCATTTGAATTTCAATCTAAAAGAATTAAAATTGAAAAAGAAATTAGGAAAGCAATTCCATTTGCAATAGCATCAAAAAGAACAAAATACTTAGGAATAAACTTAACCAAGGAGGTGGAAGACCTGTACACTAAAAAGTAGAAGACACTGCTGGAAGAAACTAAGGAAGACATAAATAAATGGGACGACATCCTGTGTTCATAGACTGGAAGACTTATTAATGTTCTCAATTCTATCTAAAGTGATCTATAGATTCAAAGCAATTCCTATCAAAATCCAATGTTATTTTTTCCAGAAATAGAATAAGCCATCATAAGTTCACAGGGAACCTCAAGGGACCCTGAATAGCCAAAATAATCCTGAAAAGAACAAAATTGGAGATCTTACACTTCTAATTTCAAAACATATTACAAGGCTACAGAAATAAAAAGTGGTATACCCCAATAGATTACATTTTAAAACAACACTGTGATGTTGGCATAAAGCAGATATATTGACTAATGGAATAGATAGAGAGCCCAGAAATAAACCTCTGTGACTATAATCAAAGAATCCTTGACAAGGGTGCCAAGATCACTCAACGGGGAAAGAAAGTCTCTTCAACAACTGGTGCTGGGAAAAGTGGATATCCACATGCAAATGAATGTAACTGGCCCTTACCTTATACCATAGACAAAAATGAACTACAAAATAGATTAAATACCTAAATGTAAGACTTAAAACTATAAAATTCCTAGAAGAAAACATAGGGAAGCTTCATGATACTGGATTTGGTAATGATTTGGATATGACACCAAAAGCACAGAGAGCAAAGCAAAAATAGACACATGGAAAAACATCACACTTAAAAACTGTGCAATAAAGGACACAATCAACAGAGTAAGAAGACAACCTACAGAATGGGAGAAAATATTTGCAAATCACGTATCCGATAAGGATTAACATTCCACACATATAAACAACTCCTACAAACCAACAACAATAAGAAACATTAAAATAAAATTAAAGATTACAAAATAAAATCAAAGATCAATATTAAAAGATGGGCAAAGGAGCCCTGACTTGTGTGGCTCAGTGGGTAGAGCATCAGCCCAAGCACCAAAGGGTCATGGTTTCGATTCCTGGTCAAGGGCTCATACCTGGGTTGCAGGTTTGATTCCCAGCCCCAGTGGGATCAGACCAGGCACGTGTGGAAAGCATCAATTGATGTGTCTTTCTCACACTGATGTTTCTCTTTATCTCCCTCTCCCTCCCTCACTCCCTCCCTTCCACTCTCTCTAAACATCAATGGAAAAAATATCCCCGGGTGAGGATTAAAAAACAACAAAAAAATATGGGCAAAGGATTTGAATAGATATTTCTCCAAAGACGATATACAAATGGCCAAAATACATATGAAAAGATACTCAACATCACATAATTAGAGAAATGTAAATCAAAACCAAATGAGATATTATCCCACATCCACTAGAATGGCTGCTATAGAAAAACAACAACAGCAACTACAGAAAATAACAAGTGCTGGTGAACATGTGGAAAAACTGGAATCCTTGTGCAGTGTTGGTAAGAAAGTAAGTAAAATGCCACAGTCGCTACAGAAAAGAGCACGACCATTCCTCAAAAAAAAAGGAATTACATAAGATCCAACCACCTTATTCTATGTACATATCCAAAAGAATTGAAGGCAAGATCTTGAAGAGATATTTGCATACACATATTTATAGCAGTCCTAGTCACAATAACCAAGAATTAGAAGCAACTCAAATGTCCATCCACAGATGAATGGATTAATTAAAATGTGGTGTGTGTGTATATATATATATATGTATATGTGCGTGAGTGTGGGTGTACGTGAACTTGTGCGCACATGCACGCGCGCACGCATATATACACACACACACACAGGAATATTATTAGCCTTAAAAAAGAATGAAAATCCTGCCACATGCTACAACACTGACAAACCTTGAGGACATTATACTAAGTGAAATAACCCAGTACTGAAAAGGCAAATACTGTATGATTCCGTTTATATCTAATTTAGGTACCTGAAGTAGTCACATTCACAGAAACACAAAGTAAACTGGTGGTTGCCAGAGGCTGGAGGGAAGGGGAAATGGGGAGTTGTTTAATGGGTATAGTTTCAGTTTTTCAAAATTTAAAATTTTGAAGACTGTGCACAACAGTATGAATATACATAACACTACTGTACTGTACACTTAAAAATGGTTAGGGTGGTACATTTTGTTACATGTTCTTTTACTACAATTAAAAACATTTAAATTAAATTTCAAATCGGTTTGTCAGTCTCATTGGATACTTTTCAAGTGCTCAGTCACCACTGCTGGCTAGTTGCTCAGCCGGGTTCCAGAGTGCAGCTCTAGGGTGTACAGGACTTGTGGACCAATTTTCTGGCAGTATGAATTTGCCTAAATATTTGGTTGTAAAGAGGTGAGAGGAAGGCCAATAGGTCAAATACTGAAAGAGGAAGGCAGTACAAAAATAAAAATAGAGGGAGGAAAGTAGAGGTTCTGGATCATGTGATGAAATCCCTCTCATTTAATTGATTATTCAAGGGTAAGCTCCCATTCTTCCCTCCTGGAGTGTTAATTTTTGTTCTTGTCCATAGCAAGGTATTTTTCCTTTGGTAAATGCTTTTCCTTCCCCAATAAGTACTCTTACATTTGGGGCCAAAGCTGTTCTGCGGAACTATTGCTTTTTGTTCACAGCTAGGGCCAATGTGCTAATGACGGAAAACTTCCATCAGAGGTGGTTTCACCTTTGGTGTGAAGGGCTGGAAGCCTGACTCAGTCATGAATTAAATGCTGATTCCTGAAAGCCTAAGGGCTTGAAAGCAAATTGCCTGTAGGCAAAGCCTTCAAATTCTCACAAGCCTCGAATTATCCTCAAATATCTGAGCAAAACCCGTTTAAGTGGCCATCAGCTTTATAAATCTGAATTGATGTTGGAATTTAAGATTTAAAAACATTGTTCCTGCCCTGGCCAGTTTGGCTCAGCGGTTGAGCGTCGGCCTGCGGACCAGAGAGTCCCGAGTTCTGTTCCCGCTAAGGGAGCGTACCACACACACACACACACACACACACACACACACAAATTGTTCCAGCCCTTCATTAAATAGGTCATGCCATTACCATGGGAGGGAGGCAATGAGATCTTCAGGTTGACTGGCAAGTCCTTTGGTACTAAAGCACAATGTCTGAAGACCATAGAACAATATCTACATTTTTTAGCAGATACCAAATAACACACCATGAAACAAAGAAGAAAGATTCTTGGAGACATCCAAGTTACCTTAGTGCATTTATAGCATGGTGAAAATTAACATTAGCTTAGCCACCTCTCCAGTAATAACAAGTACAAATCACATTCTTTGCTTGCAAAATTTGAGTTTAGAACACAGCCCAATAGCCTTACAAGAATTATTTAGTGAATTAGTAATGTTTGTACAATACTTGGTCACTATAGTTTAAGATCTGGGCCTCAACAAGGGTTAGCTAAGCAGATAAAATTCTTCATGTTGCTTTTCCATGGCCCGTATTCAGAGTCAGCCAGCTTCTGGATAGGGTTGGAATAAAATGCAGAGGAAGCAGTCCAGGCCCACTTCCCCTCCCAAGATGTTCTACTTTCAGAAATAAAAGTATGCTGGCATTGCACTTATTCTGTATGGAGACACGAGCAGGGTACTTCAGTCATTCATACATGATTGAACCAAGAACAGTTTTCATTTTCAAATGCACATTTTTAGGGGGAGTAAAACCACCAAGTGGAGAGGAAGTATGGGGACACTACCACCCAGCCAACCAGATTCAGGACTGGTGGGACAGACGGGATGGCGAATGTTGCCATCTCCCAATCTTACACCCACACCGCACCTCGTGGGGATGGGGTGGTGGTGTCTACTCTGCCCAAGAAACAGCACAGACTCCCCTGGCCACTCCCCATAGCTACTCACCGCTGTGCCGTGAACAGTCCTCCGGCGTGCTGAGCCCTCGGGTGACGTTCCTAAGAATTTTGTTCGATCCATTGGATTTCTAGAGTGTGCAGCTTTGTAGGGCATGATGTTGATGGGGCTGCAAGATGCTGAACGAGGACAAATGGGGATAACTAGGGTGCAGGTGATTGTTTTACACACAAGAGTGCCAGAGGAGCAGTTGAAGGAAAGTCAAAAGCAGGTTCAGGAAAAGGAGCCAAGCGGAGATAGAGAGAAAAGCAGGGAGAAGATGTTATTACCTACAGGTGTCCAGAACCCTCATACTCAACTCTCCTCACAGTCCTGTCAGTTTGTGGTGTGTTCAAGAGGAAGGCATGTCCAAATGAAAACTCTGAAATACATAAGCTCTTTGGCTATTTAAATACTGATTAAAGATATAGACGCAATCCAAGAGTCATGGAAAGCAATGGCCTTATATTCCTATAAACTGATGGTTCTGGTAAAATGCTATATTAGAGGTAGACACTTTTTACATAAAGACTGCTTTGTCATAATCGCATTTTCCTAATTAGCTTTGAGATTGAACAAAAGGTGGAAAGACAGGAAGCGAGCAAGCAAGCAACTGTTTCAGGAGTGAAGTTCAACAGCCAGTGGTGAAAAGAAGCCAGTGAATTTTTAAAATGTTAAATGGCCAAGTCTTACCAGGTATTAAGACTTGTTACAAGAATAACTAATGATTTCTAGGGAAAACATTCTGTAAATGTTCTATCTATGGAAAGGCAAATCAAATGCATGCTTCTGGGAGTGTCCGAAAGCCAAAGCATTAGAAGGTTCATCGCAAGCACTGTAGCACATATGGGGGAACAGGATGTCATCATTTAAAATGGCGAGAACACAAATATGTTAGAATTGCCAAAAATAAAGTGGAAACATGAATAGCATTCACAGTTGTACTCAAGATGGAACATCTTTTGAAAAACCACAAAGTGTCCTGGCCAGTTTGGTTCAGTGGTTAGAGCGACGGCCTGCAGTCTGGGGAGACCCGGGTTCGGTTCCCGCTAAGGGCATGTACCTCGGTTGCAGTTTGTCCCCGGCCCTGGTTGGGTCGTGCGGGTGGCAGCCACTCGATGTGTCCCTTTCACATGATGTTTCTCTCTCTCTCTCTCCCTCCCACTCTACCTGAACAAAGTATCAAAAAATGTCCTTGGGTAAGGATAAAAAAAAACCACAAAAAACCATAAAGTTTCTGACCATTCACTTTTAAAGGAACACCATCATTAATCAAGTGATTCTGAGCAACCACAGTTTAAAGATACTCATTCATACAATAAATAGTACAGAGGTATCTAACGTGTGGGTGCTGGGGCTCCAAGGCTCATTTTCAGATCTCACCCAGAAATCTTATTCTCCAGCAAAAAACAAGACAATTAAGTATGACGACTGAGGAGAATCATATATATTTGGACCGCCATTAAGATGATTTACCCAACTCTAGCCATGGGAGCAACCCTTTAAAGAGATCATTATGCCAGCCGACTATAACAGTATTAATAAATTAAAAACTCAAAAGTTTATAAGACAAATGTGGGATAATCTTAACTTCAGAATTAGAGATAAAAATATTTGCTATTTTGGTTTACTTCATAGATAAAAAGTTGATGAGACTGCGTCTTTATTCACACGCTCTCTTTCATCAGATGCCTGGCAGTGTCTTCCAGTTCTCGATGGTGAAGGCAGTGGACAGGCTGAGAACTGCATTGTTTTTTCCCTTCATCTGAAAACAGAATCTATTTCTTCAGGAAAAATGAAAACATTTTGCATTCCCTCAGTTCGTCTTAAAAGAATATGTGTGTCTTACTTTAGGAGTTGACACAGCGCTTTGTTTCAGACCTTACTGGCCAGGGAAGATTCCTCTGGATTGTGAGGAAGGAGGACCTTCTCTCATTTGGCTTATTGTGATCACAGGGGAAATAATTCAAAAATAATCTTTTCTTAAGGGCTATAGCAAAAAAAGCAGTTGCATTTCCCAGACAAGGAAAGAGTTCATTAATGCAAAACTATTCCAAGCCAATCAAATATATTTGGAGAATAACATCCTGGCACAAGGAACTTCTGTGGGATTAATGGCCAGGAGAGGTGCACATTGCTCAGGGCACAATCAGAGGCCATTGACTTTGCTGGGGGGGAGGTCAAGCAACTCTAGACAACAGCCATACTCTGAGGCCATGGTCTGCCACTGAAAAAGGAATAAGGCATGGAAATATGATTTCTTTTTCCTATAGTGAAAAACAGTAATTTCAGGGGCTATCTATGGAGCAGTTCTGAGACCATCTTGGATGTAAGCCAATCTCATCATGCCTCTGGTTCATTCTTTATTATGGTCCCGAGGTAACATTAATTGAAGGATGAAAATATCTTAAACCTATCAGTATAGTCTGTATGAAAATCCTCAAATTTAATTGCTAAGGAACATCACCTGGCTAAAATAAACACTATAAACTCCTTCTAAGGATATTACATTTCATGAGCTACACTGTTCTTCTGAACAGCAACTACTGGAAAATCTGAAACCTTAAGTCAATTATTCTAATACTCTTGCCCTTTTAAAGAAACAGTAACAGCAATATATACTTGCCCCCCCCCCCCCAGAGTGCCCTCCTTATCTCAAAGTAGGTTTATTAAACATAAAAATTCTTTGATGGAAATGTCTTTGAGAAAGTCTTACACAATATCTGTTTTTCCTCTGTTTGTGGTAGCAAGTGTGCATTAATTTAAATCATCCAGGATTTGCCATATGAAATGATGGGTGCAGAGAAAAGACATTGCAGTTCAAGTGGCTGGAGTGTAGCATAGAGAATAGAAAAGCTACATAACAGAATAATGATAACATTAACACTTATTGAGTGCCTACTATGTACAAGCACTATTCTAAGCATTTTACATGTATCAACTCATTTAATCCTGAGCTCTAATAATCACATGTATTTTAAATGCATTTTCAAAGATGGACATGGAGAAGTCAACCCAAAGCAGGAAGCACAAATGGGACTCCGATTTCCCATTCTCCACTGCTCTTAAGCTTGTTCTGGGAGTTTGCAATCACTGAACATCTTAGGGATGATTGTTCAGATCTGCTGCTGTAACCCTGGCTCTGATGTAGGTCCTCCTCTTGCCAACGGCAATTGGCAAGAAGATGAACTCAAGAGACAACACTAAAATGGGAAGACAAGAAAGAAATATCAATGAGAGTAGATGGGAAAAGTGATTTTGACAAGATAAATATAAGAGATGTTTACATATATAATTTCAAGTGGAAAAATTTAAAAACCAACAGTTTTGGTGTATTAAAGGTAAGCTGTACCAATGCAGTAACAGGTAACAATGACCTAAGGAATGTGTTAACAAAACCGCAATTCAAGGAAAGGCCAAGCACTGCTTCACACCAAAGTAAACTGAAGAAATGTATCAATTTATGACAAGGTGAACGGAAAAGTTGCAAAGTAAAGAAGAACCAGTTAGGAGGTAAAAAGCACCTGACTGAGCATAACAACGAAGGCGGGTGGGAAGATGGGCTGGTAGAATGGGTGGAAAATGAGGAGATGGTGTTGGAAAAGACTAGAGGAAGAGTGAAAGAATTGACAAAAGTTAGTGATGACAGAAATAGCCAAGAAAGACAATTTTCTAGCTGTGAGGCAGTCTTTTAGCATGAAAACATACAACATGGAGATTCATAAGCATGATAGAGATAAACTATTATTTAGATCCTATGAAATAGAGCTGAAAAGCAGTTTTAGAGGTTCTTCAATTAGCTGGACATGAATAAAAACTTCCATGACTTGTATAAAAGTATGCTTGTTGTTCATAGGCATAAAAAATAAAAAACAATTTTGAAATAAGCTGTACTTTTTCCTCCAGAAAAATCTCAGATACAACATGACAGCTGATAAGAGTTACTTTACGGAAAACACAGAACACTGTGGTCCAGCTAGTTGAATGCACGATTGTACACAGAGCATCATCATATGGGGTGCCGAGGGTGGAGGGTAAGCTCATTCCAGGTCCACTCTACTGATTTCTAAGTGGCTCTGGTGTAAATCCCTTCTGCTACTGGGTTCCACAGGCACCTCCCAGGGCTCCTGGGAGAATTAGTGTTGATATTAACTCACTGGGCACCATACATGAAAGACATCATAAAACTACAAATTATATTTATAAAGAGGGCTAATGAACATGAAGAGGCTTGCAGAGGCAAAGTGGTTTTTAAAGGGAACTTTGTGAAGTGGCTATGCAATTTCCTTAGAGCCAAAGATGCGGGCTAGTAGATTGGTTATATGGGTAATCTGGGAAAATCCAAATCAACTCACCATGAGATACTGCCAAAGCCTACTATGTATCTTTCTTTCCAGCTAGAGACAGTAAATGAATAGGCTCATTCAGGCATGTTTTGCATTTCAGAAAAGTAGGGGAGTTATAACTAATTATTATAACCAGTACTAGGCACATTTTACATACTGTATTTTCGAAGTATGTAACAAATAAGAACATTATACTTAGCCTTCTCTGTTACAAGTCTTAAAGGAGTTTTGAAAGGGCACTCTTCCTAGATGACATATAACAGACTGGCACAGGAAGGGTAAGTAGCCAGCCTACAGCCCACATTATGAAACTCTATGCTCACACTAGCTTGTGCTTTAATTTTATCCCCAAATCCACATATTCGTATATTAAAATATTTCTGCCTCTGATCATCTGCTTAGATGCAGGGGCAGAAAGAAAGGCAGGGAAGGGACAGGTCTTTTGGGTAATGTTATGAACAGACAGAAGTATCTGAAGCCTCTGATCACAGGGAGGGGCATCCTTTGTCTGCCTGGCATCTGGTGTTCAGATAAGATGCTACGATGGAGGCTAAGAGGACACAATGCCAGGGGCATGAAACCAACACCGACAGACAGCTTTCCAATGCCATTCCACCCGGAGGAGAGAGAGGCACACACTGGGAAAACGGAGCTGTGACCAGACGAGTGCTGGAGGCGGATACGCTGCAGAAGGAGGGCTTTACGGCACCAGGAAAGGTGCACCTTGACAGTTTTACCTGCATCTCCAGACAAGGCAGCTGTGCTTTTACTTCTGGCCAGGAACGAGTGTGTGGGCGTCAGCAGTCTGTTAACAACGGTGCTCTCCCAGGGGCTGAGTTGCAGGCGGCGAGCTAAACGTCACCACATAAGCAAGATGTTAGAAACATTCTTTCCAGGGGCAAGAAGGTGCAGAGTATCACACCTATCGCTTCCAATGCCCGGCCTTCGGGAGAGACCGGGCTCTCTGGCGAGGACAGCTGGTGAAGAGACAGTTTCTGCCCAAAGGAGCAGCTGTTCTATGGCACTGCCTTCTTCCACATGTTAACTTGTGGCAGTCTCTACGTTAGTTTTACGGATGCAGATTTTGCTAACCACTCTCCTTTAGCAGTTGACAGGTAACACAGAAATGTCATTTCCACTACAGCTTTGGCATGTCATGCTGACGCCAGTCATACCTACCTGCCGGCTGCCCTCACCAGGATGGGCAGTGGACTGATGGCACACACCTTAGCCACTGGGCTTCCTAAGTTCCCTGAATAATCACTCCAACAGAGGCTGTGGCAGCTTAGTGCAAGACTGGATTTACAAGTAAATAAAGATAGAAAGGGCCTCCATTAGTTTGATAGATCTCCATAAATTGTTACTTGGGCAATTAGGGGGAAATTGGATACAATAAAATGAAAGAGGACTCATGCACAGTTCTGGATAGAGTTTCCTTTTGACTTTTCCATTCAGCAAGCCAGGTTCTTTCAAGTTCCTGTTTAACAACAACATAAAATTTTGTGGGGAGGATTAAGGGTCAAGTTGAAGCAAGATAAAATTAAACAGAAAAGCCAGAATCCAATCTGACATAAATTGGAGCTTACTAGTTGGCGTGTGAAGAATCTGGAAGGTAAATTTAAAATAATGCAATGAAGTATGGTCCCAAATTTTATGGGGGCTTGGCAAGTCCACTGTTAGGAAATGCATGCCAGTTATCGATTACTTCGTTCATGTTAGCTTCCAGTGATGGCCCATGAAAATACAGAAGCTACTTTCCAAAAATACCTGGAAAGAAGTTTGCAAATATCACTAAAGTGATAATATATTTTTATTATTATTTTAAAAATCCTCATCCAAGGATATATTTTTTTCCCATTGATCTTTAGAGAAAGTGGAAGGGTGGGAAGGAAGGAGAAAGAGAGAGAGAGAGAGAGAGAGAGAGAGAGAGAGAGAGAGAGAGAGAGAGAGAGAGAGAGAGACATTAATGTAGAGAAACATTGATTGGTTGCCTCCTGCACATGCCCCAACCAGGGCAAGGATGGAACCGGCACCCAGGTATATGCTCTTGACCAGGAATCAAACCCAAGACCCTTTGGTTCCAGGGGCTGACACTCTAGAACCACTGGGCCACAGCAGCCAGGGTATATCTTTATTTTAGAACACATTTCCAAGTCATTTATAAAAGACTTTAAACTGATGAAACGTGACAAGGTCACTCTGTTCCTCACTATAGACAGTAGGTGCAAGCCCTTCCTTTGCCTTTGGAGCAATTGTTCTTACAACAATCTTTTATATGCCATATTTGAAATGAATGGCATTTATATTCTAGGAAAGTCATTTTAGTTAATAGAAGCCATCCAGTGTCAAATGTTGTTATAGAAAATATCTGCTTTTATTTGGAAGAGGTACCAACTTTCATTAGGAACCTTAAGTATCTGACTTTATTTTGAAAGAGTGGTTATTTTGATCAAGGCTCTGGTGAATTTAAGAATCAGTGAATTGTTTATTAGATTTTTCTGGTTATTAGGAGAGTCTTCATGGCTAAATTAAATCTTATCTGACAGCAAGACATTAATACAAAGCTATGCTATAAAAACCAATGCAACAGTTACACAGGTAGTATAGCATATGTTGGGCAGCGTGCGTGGGCATTGCGCATCAATGACAAAAATACTGTGATCTAAAATCACAATACGTTCACAGGTCACTGAGGATGACCAATCAGGATTAAATAAAAATCGTCAGAGAACTCTATTTCTAGTGGATGAGAAAGGGAAGAAGAATGAATGTTTTAGATGAACTCTGTAGAGCGACTGGCTTAGAACTGCAGAGACGGTTTATCACAGAAAAGACACCCCTCATCCTTCATTAAGAAGTTCAATGGCTTTATTTCCGTGCGTCTTTAAGATATCAACCAAAAAAATGTGCCTCAACTGTAGCTCGCTAAAAACCCTCTTTGATTTGTGTTTAAAGCATATCCCAAGAGATTAGTTTTATAGCTCCAAACTGAATGACTTTGCTAGGAGAAACGTGTTTCCACTTCCTCCACCTCCATAACTATGCCCTGAGCAGGAGAGAGACAGATTCTTCCACAAGGTAACTTTTTAGTAAATGTTAGGACAGGGGAGTTAGTTTATTATTTTGTGGGTTTATTTCTTTCACCTGGAGGGGCCTGACTTTAAGATGATAAGCTCCAGAAGGAGGAGAGGTTAATTTTTATGAAACAACTCTAAAGTATAGATACTGTTTAAGCACTTAAAAATGAGATATTGACAGTTTTCATAATAGACCATCTGGACCAGGGGAGGCAAACAAACACGCTAGATATTTGCACTAGCGTGTTACCCACGAGCAGGAAACCATTATTCAGTTCCAGATGTGGAGAAACCAGGCAAGTGTTGCCAGGTCCTAATTTTTTCATTAAAAGTAGAAGACCTCAATGGTATATGAACTCTTCCATTTAAAAAATGATGGCAATTAATTCAAATTTAAAAAAGAACAAAACCCCCTGCTCAGGTCAAGCAGAACATGCCTATGGACAGAATTTAGTATGAGGTCTACTACACCATGTCCTCTGCCCCAGATTCTAGGAAAAATGTACGGACTCCTTTTAAGCAAAGAATAAGTGACATCATTGTCACTTTTTTCAAACTCCTCATGATATGTCCTTGAGAAAAAAGCTGGTTAAGCAGGTAGCTTAAGCTAATAAGAAATATACATTTTTAATGCAAAAATTTCCAGTGGCAATATTCTCTCTTATTGCAGCAATTACAGAAATCTTTGGTAGTCAGAGGTTTTCTTTTTAACTCAGGTCATTTTATCAGTCTGTGTGACACTATACTCAGGTGTGATAATCAAAATGTTTACAAACTGGATGCCATTCATTAGCTCTGCAGGGCCCAGGGAAGCACAGCTTGGAGAAGGGGATATTTACCAACAGGTATGGAAATATTTCAGTATTTTTAATAACCAGTGGAGCGTTCCAGCTGAATGTCAACCTAAAAGTATCAGAGCCTCAGTTTAATACCAACTCTAAGCCCTGTGCTGAGAGGCTGAGAAAGCTCAAACAGTCTAGTGATGGTGCCTATCCCTTAGCGGAATAGTCTGTAAAAGCCTCTACTTTAGTAATTTAATAAAAAGGCTTTTTAACTTGGTTATAAAGCATAACCAACTTTTAAAAACAGCAGAAAATAAAATAAACTAACTAAATTACTTAACTTTCTAAATTAGAGAAGTTCAAATTCAGAAGAATTTCTGTTCTCTTTAAAAGTAGCTCTCTCACTGTCCTGAGGGTTTTGCTTAACTAAAAGAAATTGCTTCCTGGATCTATAGGAAACGCTGGATGAACCAAATCTTCCTTCCAGGCCAACCTTTTCCTGGAAGTTACAAAAGGCTAGACCCAGAAACTTTTTGATAAGTGGGAAGCAAAGCAGAACTCTCTGATTTAGTGCTCTCCACCTATCCCAGTGGTCAGCTGTATTCCATTTTACAAGCCTGCACCATGATTCAAGGGGCAGTTTCCTGGCCCCAGCTATGAACTGGTTGTTGAACTTCCCTTGATTCACAGAGTCAGGGTTGACCTAAAGAAGGGCATCCATGAAGGTCAAACCTGAAGATGCAGTGTAGCAACATGGGTTAGGAGCTGGTGATCTCTGTTCTAGCCCCTCTTCTCCAACAGTCAGCTTGTAGGATACCAGTTCAGGCTCTTCACCACTAAGGGACTCTTACCCCAACTGGAGTAGATGAGCCATCCAACAAGTTTTCTGCAGTTCTAAGATCCTATTTCTTAAAAATGTCCAATCAGATGCTATCACGGAGAATCTATAAAACATCTTACTTCTAGTTGACACAGTGTCATCCTTCCAAAGAAGTGAAGACAGGATGTTGTCTGGCTTACTGCCCATCCCCCCACTTCCAACCTTACCCCAGTTTCAGCTGTGGGACTATAGGAGGCAGTAGGCAAGGTTTAACTTAAAAGTACTATAACATCCCAATTGTAACTTGTCTGAGATCCAGGTTCACAGAAGTATGAAATTAGAGTGCTGAGTAAGTGACCAGTCACAAAGAAAAGATGAACAGACAACTGTAAGACACACTATATTTTATGTTATATTAGGGGAATAATGAAAGCCATTCCCAGGTGAAAAGAAAGGCTATTTATGAAATAAATTTTAATTCATAATACTTTAACATATAAAAGGTCTCTAATTTGACTACATGTTTAATATTGACTTAGGCAAATTAGGTTAAAAAAAAGGAATGGTTTAAGTTAAAAGGCAAGAATAGGAAGCTGTTCAAACATTTACTGCATTAAGAGATTAGTTTAAAACAACATCAGCACATATATTATACATTATGACACCATTATTTTTATACAATATAAAATATACAAATACACATACACACATACAGAACATGCACACATTACATTCTTTTTCAAGGCTATAAACACTGAACCTTTCCCGATCAGAATCTTAATAAAGCACTTATAGTAACCACAACTTGTTACTTTTAAAGAGTATGTACTTTTATATTACACAATAGTTTTTTAAATTTAAAATCATTTCAGTTATTTAAAACAAGTAGCTTATCTTAAAAGCTTGGTTCTTCCTACCATGATATATAAATATGTAAAATAAAACTTTCACTTAATAAATAACAACATTCATGTACTGTAAATCCATGGGATGAATAAAACTCAAAATTAAAATAAAATGTTAATTGGAGGATTATGATTATTAAAAATTTTAGGAGACTTCACTGATGATATTCTTGAAGTTAGGCCAAATCCCTTAAGAGCAAATGAATGGAAACCAAAAAAACCAGTCACACACACAAGAAACGTGGCAAGAAAGGTTTGGTTAAATGAGAAATAATTAGCAAAATGAAATCTACCAACATGAATCAATTAAAAAGTTTTTTGTTTGTTTTTTTAGAAAGTCAAAGCCTGGAATTCCCAAAGTACAGATGAAAAGTCAAAGACAGTATGATTGAAGTAAAATAAATGTTCATAACAGAGATTATTTGCATGTTGGTGGATAAGTGGGTGATTTCTGGAGCTGTAAACTCAGGCACTAAAGAGTCGGGAGAAGCACCGCTTTCATCACTGCTAAATGCAACCATTCAGCCAAGTTCTAAACTGAGAAATGTTCTCGTCGCAAGGAAAATGCTGCTCAGCCGTTTATTGCTTTTTTACTCTGAAGTTTTTTTCTTCCTATTTAAGAAACGTAGGGAAAGCAACTTCAGATGCTTATTTTTATCTGTAAACATCCAGAAAAAAATGCATTAAGTAAATAACAGAACACTTTTTTTGTTTTCCTTTTGACTGTACCTCTATCTGGAGAATTTAGTAAAGTTGCAGATGAAGAGGAGAGCCGCTTGCTAATGACCGGATCAACATGTTTCGAAAGATTCATGGTGGAAACTGACCGCCTGTCTGGATCTAAAACAAATGGAGATAATGCTAATTGACAGCCAGCATGCAGGATTGCAATTTCCTAGTTTGCTGATGGAAGGAAAAACTAGGACTGGATGCTTTCAGCTCTATCACTAGATCGTTCATAATAGCACAGTTTTCTAAGTGGACATTTTAAAGGTAACTTAAAGAGTAGAAATAAAATTCATTTTTCTTATAGGATAAAATAAATATTCAGCTCGCCAGTGTGTCAGCCAGGGATATTCAAGCATATTGTTATAATACGATGAATGGAGGCCAGTGGTGGGCAACCGAAACAATGGAGGTGGACTGTGAAGCAAAGAGAGGACCACTAACACGAGAGCCTTCATAATTTCCCACAGCGGGAAAGATGGGGAAGAATTAGTGCTGGTAAAATCAAATGCAAACACTAGAAGATAAAAAACACCAGGCTCAGCCCGGCCGGTGTGGCTCAGTGGTTGAGCGTTGACACATGCACCAGGAGGTCACCAGTTGGATTCCTGGTCAGGACACATGTCCAGGTCTTGGGCCCGATCCCCAGTGGGGGGCATGCAGGAGGTGGCCAATCGATGTTCTCTCATGGATGTTTCTATCTCTCCCTCTCCCACTCACTTCTCCTCTATCTAAAAAACAAAAAACAAAAAAAAAAAACCCCAAATTTAAAAAACAAAAACAAAAAAACACCAAGCTCTGTTTGCAGGGTTATTTTCACCTGGGCATGAAAGCTCATTACAGGAAAACAGACTAACAAGAAGGAAAGAAGAGGCAATGCTCTTGGGTAGCAAGGATGGCCACTATCGCATTTCTCTTAAAAAATCTACTAATAACCACATCTCTAAGCCTATCACGTAGATTCAGTGTGGTTTACAAAGGTAGAAACAGCCCACAAACTTGCCTGGCAAAATGAATGGTGATATAAAGAAAATCAGAAATCTTTCTCTTTAAGTTTATTAGCAACATCGTCCATCCTGCAGTCAAGGAACTTTAGAGCACTTTTTTTTTATCCTCACCCAAGGACATTTTTTGCATTTATTTTCAGATAGGGTGGGAGGGAGAGGGGGAGGAAGAGAGAGAAAACATCACCTGAGACACATTGAGTGCTCACCACCCACACAACCCCAACCGGTGCCGGGAACAAACTGCAGTTGAGATAGGTGCCCTTAGCGGGAACCGAACCCAGGCCTCTCTGGTCTGCGGGCCAACGGTCTAACCGCTGAGTCAAACCAGCCTGGGGGAGAGCATGTCTTAAAGTTCAAGTCAGGTGAGAAATACAGTTGTCCCTCGCCACTTCAGTATTTGAAAAACCGGGATAGAGTGAAGCCACGAATGTCCAAGCTCATGCCAGGGAAAACTGTATAAATAAAGAATCCCACTTCGCAGAAATTCACTTACAGCGGTAGAATCTGGAACTGATTAACCGCGATAAACGAGGGCCGCCTGTAGCAGCCATTTAAAAGGCAAATATCAGCTCTGTTAGTTGGCTGTCTGTACAGTAGAACCAAGCAGAAACAATACTCCTTAGCATAAATCATGTTCCCTGAATACAACTGTATGCATTAAAAGTCTAAAAATCTCATTGTATTTATGTAGGAGGCAGGTAGATGATGTTCGGACCTATAATAGCCAAAGGTAATGGGGTTTTGCCATATTTTGTTTTATTGTCTATTGTTCACTTCTAAAACTAAACACAAATAAAATGTTCCTTGTGGGAGAAAGGCTTTCAAAATTCAGTTTCACTAACCTTGTTAGTAAAAATTTTACAGTAAACTTTCCCCCGCAGAATCACCATTTTTGGCCATTTACAGTGTACAGGGTGATAAGAAGTCTTCCAACAGTATCAGATACTTCTGTATCCTACTGGGGCTCATTTTATAGTTGAAGCATTTAATTATTTTTTTAAAAACCCATAATTCCTGTGACTCAAATTTATCTAGACTTAGCTGATGGGCCCGTAGGGCATTCCTAACGTGAAAGATTCAGGATAAAATATCAAAAGGAACACCTTATTCATGAAATGTGAGGTTCAAGGGCACAAGGAAGAATAATGAAAGCCATTCCCAGGTGATTCTATAGCAATACATTTTCTGCTATTGGTTCATATGTTAAGCTCTCATTAGAGGAGCATTGTGTCTATATGCAGGCCTATCCTGCATGGTTAAAGTTATGGGGTTATAACATGTATTTATTATATTACTTTATACATAATAAGACAATTTCTAATCATTTCTTTTTCTCACTAAACAAAACACAAATTCATGAAAGGTTTTGCAAAGAATTGGCTTAAACAGTATAAAGTTATGCAAGCCAGTGACAGTTGCTGTGTGAGCAGTCAAACAAAACATCGGTTTAATGTGGATTAAATTTAATTTCTAGGACTTGTTTGTTGGTCAGAAAACACTGATTGAGTACCCACCATGAACCAGTGGGTATTCAAAATGAGTAAGATGATTTGGTCACTGCTCTCAAGATCACAGCAGATCAATCTGATCTTTGAGAAGTTTGGCATATTCCCATTATTCCCGATCTTCTCTGTTCTAGTATAGCAGCAGTTTTCTCTAATTCACAGCCCTTATAGAAATGGATTTTATCCAACAGTATCCACTCTCTTGCTCTGAGTGGCAGTACTAATGATCATTTATTGAACCCTGAGTGTGAAAACAAGAATTAAGCTAAGTAACTTTATTTCCCCTCAAAGAAAATTTGTAACAGAGTATATTTCTGCCATATACATGTAAAACAAAGCCAAGTAAAAGAAAAATCAGTAAGGTTATAACAATATATACCATGACAGATTTTCTGCATGGAACAAGCATGTAAAACTAGCCCTAGAATGAAATATCACCCTTAAATGATCCTAACGACTGCAGATTTGATATGTGCCCTACCAAATAAGAGCCAAAAAAGAAAAGTGCTTTCAATTTTGGTTCACTGTCATATAAAAGTAAATTGTGGTAATATGATTTTAGATTTTTTAAAATGAAGGAGTTATAGAAGATATACTGAATGTTAGGAAAGAAAGAGAATAGAGCAAACAAACAAAAATCCAATAACGTTTAGATTAAAACTAAAAGTGGCAACACCAGTATGGAATGGGGGTGGGGAGGGGAAACCAAACTGGATATATTTTGATCCCAGGTAATTTATTAGCTAAAAATAATTTTTTAAAAGTTTTATCTAAAATGATCATTTAAGGAGAAAGCAAACATATCACGTAATTATTTCAACAGCTTTAAGTCACCTGAATTATAATATATTATCACACTTAAGAAACACTGTGCTATATCCCAGATCTAGGTCTATGCAACAGGATATTAAGCAAGCATCATGACTAAGGTGGTGATGGTTCAGCTATTGATGAACTCTGGCCCTAGGTCTGAGGTGCTAGCTACAGGTCAAGCAATCAGCAACCACAGGAGATCTGTACCAGATTTTCTAGTACCACCAAAAGTTGTGAAGTGGTGGTCCAGGCCTGCTAAATCGAGAAAGGTGAATGATGATTCAACAAAACCACCTGGGAACAGAATGTAAGACAATGATTTTTGAAAGTAAATTTTAAAAAGAGGCTATTAGACTCACACAAATGAAAAAGAACTGACACAGTATATAAAATTCAAGGTGTATTGAATTTACAGTACAAAAATAAAGCTTTCCACTAATTCCAAATTTCAGTATTTTCATGTCCATTCAAGAATAAGGGAATAGCTCAGACATCTACTACTATTTGTATCTTCAAAACCTGAACTTTCTCTTATAGAGCTAGTGTTGCATATACTTTAGGGTCATAATACATAAGCTCATAGTATTGATTTTGCTCAGTCAATATGACTATGAATAAAAACCTGGTGAACCAATTTCATAACCCTGAAACCCTATGTAAATTAATTAAAATAATGTACAGTTGAAACTAGCATGTTTATTTGGAAACATTGCATAGATTTCTCTCTCTTTAAGGACGTTTGTAAAAAATGAGGAAAGCAGTCTGTGTTAAGGAAGAAAGCCGTATCTTCTTACCTCCATCACCCTCTTATCCTCAAACAGTAGAAGCATCATTTAATTGTAGTGTAATTATTTCAGCATGATTTTTGTTTTGTAAACAAAGATTTAGGAGAAAGAAGCAACTGCACTTTTGCTGTTCAGGAAAAGAACTGGGGATTGTGAAAGTGGTCACTGCCGGTTTACCTGTACTGTGAATGCGGGGGCTGCCATGGAGAGGGCCTCCCCATGACCACCGGTTATGCTTCTGTTTTGGCTTCTGGCTCCTTTCCATCGTGCGCCGTACGACAGCTTCATGGCGCTCCTAAAATGGAACAGAGCAGCTGCTGATGATATTCAAACTGGTTGTCTGAGGCTTCTTTTTAAAAGAATTATTTAAAAATTAATTTTAGAGAGAGAGAGAATGGGAGAGAGAGGCGGGGAGGGATGGCGGGGGAGAAGCAGAGAGGGAGAGAGAGATCTGTCGCTATCATATGCATTCATTGGTTGCTTCTTATATGTGCCCTGACCGGAGATCAAACCCGAAACCTTGTGTATCAGGATGCCACTCTAGTCAACTGAGCTATCCAGCCAGGCAGGGCTTCTTTAACTTAAGGCAGAGTGGAGGGAGACAGAGTACTTGACCTCAGTATCTATTTCCTAACATCTACACCTTATCTTAAGGTGAGAATATTATCAACATGGGACGGTTATTGAAAACATTAAGACCCAGTTGAAAAAGCCCATTGCAAACAGAAAGTACCTAAATAAATGATCCTTATTATTACTACTGGGAATGTGATGCTGTCACAGTTGGTGCAAGTCTTAGCTTGTACAGATGCTAAATACATGTGGGATTGTTCCTGAAACATGGAATTTAGAATCCGAGGACGTGGGTAATCCTGACTCCACAACTCACTGAGTTGGATGACTCTGTAACTTACCCATTCTGAATCTAAATTTCCATTTTTGCCAAGATTCAAGGATTGAATAGGGTTAAATGAGACAATCTAGTACGTGGAAATGTTTGTCGGTAAAGCCCTACAGAAATCCAGTGGTCTTGATACTTCAGTATAGTTTAACTGAACATAAATAAGTTTTAGGTGTAGACCGGAGAAAATGGGCTTTTAAAGCTGCGGTGGCAATAAGAACAATCACAGCACTCTCTACATGACTTCACGCCCAGCGCGCTCCACACCGTGACTCTGTCCAGCTGCTCACTCAGTTTGCGGCGTCTCAGCTCCTCCACGGAAAGTTTCCCAGCAAGTGCGCGCATTTCTGCAGCCGCGCGCCTCCGTCTGTTCCCAGGGTCCCCGGGCGGCACCTTACCTTGTCCTCCTCTAGTCTCTGCCTTCTCTTTTCCTCCACAGCAGCCCTCCTCCGCTCTTCCTTCAGCCTCTGCTCTTCCAGCTTCTTCTTCCTCTCTTCCAGGTGCTTCTCGTAGTGCTGCCGGGCCCGCTCCTCCTTCTCCAACCACAGCAGCTCTCTCGCAGCTGGGAAGAAAGACGCACGATCACACGCAGGCAGGTTCAAACCTGAATGAACAGCAGGCTGTGGCAGTGGCGTCCACGTAACACAGAGGGGTCTTCAGTTTTGTAGTCACAAGCCTGGCCTTTGCTTTCCTCACATTTTCAGGAAAAAAAGTACTATGGTTAATTTTTAGCATTATTTAATGTGCCAACAATGAGTAGAGGAAGATGCACCGAGTCTCGCTCCGGGAACCCCCACAGTCCTCCAGTCTGGTGCATTATTACTAGAATGATGCATATGTCACATGCTCTGGTCTCGATTTTGACTTGACAGGATGCCCTAATAACCGAGAGTACTATTGGTCTCTCTCTTTTAAAAAAAATGTGGTGTCTTTCAGACTGAAAATTTGACTATGTTTGTTTCAACACAGCACCGGTTTTCTGAAAGAATTAAAAGGACTTGGGAGAAAACCCCAAAGATTGATAGTTGATAAAAGGCATATTAAATGCCTCATAGGCATACCACACTGAGTCAGATAAGCAATGTGACGGACCAAATCAGCGGCTGATCTTGTGTCTCAAGAGCTCATAACTTAGTTAGATGAGATAACATCACAAGCTGAATGGAAACACACAATTTAAAAAATAGTGTTCAGTGAGGAAATGCTTCTTTTCTTTACATATACACGTTTTTTTCCTCCTTTTAGGGGAAAATATACAAAACTAATTTTTTAATATGGTGCTTCCTTACACACATCTTTGTAAAAAAAATTTTACACACACACACACACACACACACACACACACACGCTTTTTATTGATTTTTAGAGAGAGAGAGAGAGAAAGGGAGAGCTCTAGAGAAAAATCAATGGGAAAAACATCAATCGACTGCCTCCTGCACGCCCCCTAATGGGGATCGAGCTCACAACCTGGGCAAGTGCCCTGACTGGGAATCAAACAGGGACCTCTCAGTCCATGGGATGACACTCAATCCACTGAGCCACACTGGCAGGGCTAAACATGTCTTTAATATGAGTTATTAACCCTATAGGCAAAGTGTCCCAACAAAATTTAAAGCATAAACCTTGAGGACACTACATTACATACAAATTAAAATGTTTTATTTTAAGAGGAAAAAAATAGAAATTCAGAACATTTCAGTTTCCTCTAAATGTATAGTAAGAAATATTTTGTATTCCCACTGCCATGAAATCTTTCCAAAACTGTTCATGTGAGGAGACAAACCTACTGAAAGGGATCTGAATGGACTTTACTTTCATGGAAGGAAATGAGTCAACATTCATGAGTTTGTCCTGTGATACCACGAAGGGGGGCGGACAGAGAGCTGGGGGCTGCAGGGGAGAAGTCTGGGTTCTCCCAGCAGCTCTGCCACTAGCAGGTGGGTGGGACCTCGGATATGTTCATTTGGAGTTAGTGTTTTCTCTTGTCTAAAAGATGAGGAAATCGATCTTCAAGATTCCTTCCAATTTCAAATTTCTATAGAAATTTTTCAGGCCCAAGTTAAAAGTTTACTTTAAGTAAAAGCAGTGTGCAGATGATATTTTGTTGAACCTGTATGGTTTTGCAAACCAATGCCACCCCAATAAATTCAATATAAAATAATAATAAGTTTTTAAAAGTACATAGTATGTGCTCACTAAATATTCACTGAAAGAGTGAATAAATAAAAAACACTATGCCCAGCCAGTGTAGCTCAGTGGTTGAGCATCGGCCTATGCACCAAGAGGTCGTTGGTTTGATTCTGGTCAGGGCACATACTCAGGTTGGGGGCTAGATCCCCAGCAGAGGCTATACAGGAGGCAACCAACTGATGATGTTTCTATCTCACCCTCTCCCTTCCCCTCACTCTAAAAACAAACAAACAAAAAACACCCACTATGAGAACACATGTTAAAAATAATAGGCAGAGAACATAATTCTAATAATTTCTTAAGATACACTTACTGTGATTGCAGACATTCATGCACATAAGATCTTATATGTGCAACTATCTTATTGGCAGGTTTTTAATAACACTACACATTTTGTTTTTGTTTTGTTTTTATCCTCACCCGAGGACATTTTTCGATATTTTATTCAGATAGAGTGGGAGGGAGAGAGAGAGAGAAACATCGACATGAAAGGGACACATCAAGTGGTTGCCACCCGCATGACCCAACCAGGGCCGGGGACAAACTGCAACCAAGGTACGTGCCCTTAGTGGGAACCGAACCCGGGTCTCTCCAGACCGCAGGCTGATGCTCTAACCCTGAGCCAAACTGGCCAGGGCATAACACTACACATTTTAATTCACTTAAAAAGGTGGAGTTAACAGTAATAGATTTTGTCAAAACTTAAAAAGTACAGAATATTAAAAGGTGAAATGAAAGTCTTCCTCTAACCTTAGATCCTCTTATATTCTCCTTCTACCTTTTTGACAAACGTAAAAAAAGTAGAAATGCAGACATACGGTAGTATAACACTTATTGCTCTGCATATTGTTTTTCTTTTTTCTTTTTTTTTTAATCCTCACCCGAGGATATTTTTCCTTTTTTTTGTACAGATAGAGTGGGAGGGAGAGAGAGGAAGGGAGAGAGAGAGAGAAACATCGACGTGAAGGGACACATCGAGTGGCTGCCACCCACACGACCAACCAGGGCCGGGGACAAACTGCAACCGAAGCACGTGCCCTTAGCGGGAACCGAACCCGGGTCTCTCCGGACCGCAGGCCGACACTCTAACTGCTGAGCCAAACTGGCCAGGGCTGCATATTGTTTTTCCACTGAAAATATATCTTAGAGATCTTTCCATACCAACACATTAAATATGAATCTAAGAACCTTTTTAATGACTATATTTTATTGTCTGCATACATTATTTTATATAATGCAATACTTAATAATGGATTATCTAAGCTGTTTCCAGTATTTTAATTACTCAGGTCTTAGAGTGACATCATTGTATAACACAGACTTGCTCTGTGTACATGTGTGAGCTTATCTATGTAGAAGTAGAACTGCTGAGTCAAAGGGAATATACATTTAAAATCTGATGTTGTCATACTGTCCTCTGTAGGGGTCACACCAATTTACACTTTCACCAACAACATATGAAGGTCACAGGCAGAAACAGATGTGACCCTGAAACCTGTGGCTATGCAATATGATACATCTATTTCATGACACTTAGCTTTCCAACTACATAGTCTTTTACTTTAATACCCTGTTTTGAGGAAAATTTTCAGGGTGTTTGAGGACATTTATAAATGTAATATATTCCTTTCCTGTAAGAGATCCAGAAGCCAGAAAGATAAAATAAGAGATACAGGTATTTATGAAATAGTAAATATTAAAAAAAAACAAAAACTGATAAGGTAAAATTTGTAAAATAAGAGTTAACCAATTTACAGATTAGTTTTCCTTAAATAATGTTTTCCATCAAGCTCATGGCTTGCTCATGGCTATTTATGACTATTTCCTCATTAAAGTTAAATTCCCCTGATTTCTGAAGTCCTACCTTGGCCTTCATCCCCTTATTTGGCCTTACTCTGCGCTCCCAGCAGCCTTTCATTCTCGCAGTAGACTTGCCCCCTCACTACCCTTCGCAACAGACCAGGCCTCTCCCACATGGCCGCTGGTGCTGCTGTTACTTAACCTCTCTATGCCTCGCTTCTGTTGGGCAAATTGTGGATCATTACAGGACCTTCCTCATAGATTTACTGTGAAGATTACAAGAATCATTTCACTTAACACAGAATAATTCTCTGCACTTAGTAAACTTTCAGTAAATAGTAGTTATGACTGCCATCTTTGTTATCATCACCATAATTTCAATTCAGAAAATTAAATTCAGTTCTTAAGGTTGTGTTATCTCAGTAGCGCTGGATATTACTACAGTTATAATTACTTTTACTGCTAATAATCTAAAGGAACAACATATCTTTATCCATCAAACTCTTATTGAGTGCCACTTCCATTTTTTCCACCAGGAAGTCAAGATCCCATTGCAGAGCCTTCTTTAAACATTGTCTTTTTGAGAACAGTCAAACAGAGAATAGGCAAACAATGGTGAAATAAGCAAATAGCACTTTCAGATTATTGCAGTATGCTGGTGAGTGCTAGAATTATTACCAAGTACGGATCATGCAACCTTTCAAATGGAAGAACACATAAGAATTAACAGTTAATTTATTCTAAGAGGTTTAGTTATTTAAAATATTCCCTAAAGAATGCCAGATAATGTGAAAGTCTTAAATTATTAAGAAATGAGACTTTTGAGCACAAGGAAAAAAATCAACAGCTGCTGTGGACTGAACTGTGCCCACCCCTCCCACCCCCCATTCATATGTTGACGTCCTGCTTCTCAGGATGACTGTGTTTGGAGACAGGGCCTCTAGGAGGTAATCGTGGTTAAATGAGGTCACGAGGGTAGAGCCCTAATCCAATGAGATTAGAGTCCTTATAAGAAGAAACACCAGCAAGCTCTCTCCCTGCCTTTCTTCATGCTCAGATGCTCTTGTGCGAACAAAGCAGCCTTCTGCCAGCCAGGAAGGGAGCTCTCATCAGAAACTGAACCCTGCTGGAACCTTGATCTCGAACTTTCCAACCTCCAGAACTGTGAGAAAATAAATTTCTGTTGTTTCAGCCACCCAGTCTATGGTATTTTTGTTGTAGCAAACTGAGCAGACAACTCATTCAGTATTTAAATCATTAACAATCACTAATTTCGTTAGAGTAGCTTTCTAAAAGTATAATAGCATGTCCAAAAAAGGAACTGTGGTGAATATTATCAACTTGTACTCGTGTGAAATTAAAATTCCCCCCTGGACTCTGGGATCGTAATATACAATGAAATGAAAACCCACTGTAGCCCCTAAAATCCTGGACATTGACAGGTCAGTCCCATCCCTGAGCTGCCGCCACCAGGATAATACTTTAATGACGCTGTGACGGCATGTCAGTGCCACCAGCAGGGGAGGTCCGCTATCAATCTGGACTCCATTTAGAAACGTACAGTGACTCTTG